CTAATAATTCATGCTCTTTGGCCAAGCAATTCCTCTTCTTGAATTTATCTGAATTTTTTTCAGAGATGTAGGCAAAGATCTATATCGAGGATGTCCATCTGATTTTATTTATAATAAGGAAAAATTGGAAACAGTTTCAAGGAATATGGAAATGATACATAATCACATGATAGAGGAACACAAATATGGGGTTTTAGAATGCTTCTTGGGGATGTGAACAAATTCTTATGATTTGATGGCATATGAAAAGTCCAGAAGGTAAAATTATAAGAGTTCCCAACTCTGTTAAGATCAGCAGGAAATAAACCAAAAAATGTTAACAGGTGGTGTGTGAATTGGGAATGCTTTCAGCTCTAAGGAACTGAAAATCTGACTTATGGTGCCTTAAATACATAGGGGTTTAGTTTTTCTCTGATACGTTGTCTAGAGGTTTGAGGGAGTGCCATTGGCAGCTTGGTGATATTAGGTGTGGCATCTCGCAATGCTGTTTTCTTTATGGTCACAAGATGGTTGCCCCAGCTCCAGGCATCATGTCCATATCTGAGATAGGAAGGAAGAAGAGGAGTAGCACAGTGCCTGAAGCATCTGTCCTTTTTATTAGGTACCTCTAGAGCCTACTGAGGTGCCCCAGCAGATTTCTGCTTAAGTCTCTGACCAGAATTTGGTCCTGTGGCTGTCTCCATTTACAGGGGAGCCTGGAGAAGGGAATATTTAGCCTCTCAGTTTCCAGAGTAGAGGCTGCAGCAGGGAAGGAGTAGGAATATCTGTTATGTTAGTTAATAAACAATGTCTTCTACTCTGCTTATTTCTGGGTGGTGGGCTTATGAACATTTTTGCTTTTCTTCTTGGTTCTTTTCTGTGTTGTCCAGTATATCTGCAACCCGCCTTTATAATTTCTATAATTGAAAAAAGGTACAACAGATATTCCTTTAGAAATTCCTTGTGAAGTTGTGGGCTTCCGTCTCTGGAAGCATCTGTATTGTCATCAGTCACAAATGTGCACAAACAAGTGCTGAACTCTGTGGGAGCCAGACTGACTCATCTGTCTTCCCCCCAGCCCTGCCCCCCACTTAGGCACTGTGCTAGTTCCTTGGACAACCTCCCTTTACCCAATTCTCACAACAGCCACCTTTTCCAGAAGAGATACAGGAAGGTTGCATAATTAAGTCGCACACAGAATAAAGCAAAGCCAAGTCTGTGCTGGTGGCACCAACTTTAATTTTGTATATTCCTTCCACGCAGCAAGCTCAGTAAAGATTGTGTTGAATGAATGCAGAGTAGATGAGTCATTTGGATGTACAATTTTTTTTTGGATGTAATGGATTTCATAAACATTTCTAAAAACTATGCTCCTCAAAGAATACCACTAAGTAAATGACTATCCAAGCTACAGACAGGAAAATATATTTTGTGAAACATCATACAGATGGGTATGCAATTTTTTTAAACTACAGCTATTACTTGATAATGATTTCTTGTAGTGTATCTGTGTTAGCACTAATTTTAATCAGTGCGATCGAAAAATAACAGACTGTTCTAGATTGCCTGCAAGAAAAGAACTCAGCTCTCTTGCCTGTGTCTAATAACCTTGACTAATATCTGGATAAAAAAAGCTTACTATGACTCCAGATGAATGGTAGTAGAACCCACCGAGCTTGATGAGTCATCAAGATTTTGCTAACTTTTTCATTTATCTCCCTCATTCTACTTAAAAAAAAGAAAAAAAATCCCCCAAACCAAAAAAACCCAACAAACTGGAGTATTTTAAAGCAAGCCCAGAGACTGATTTCATCATGAACATTTCTGTAATTGGAATAAAAAGGCTTTTGAGTGGCCTCGTGTTTCTTTCTTTAGATCTGCTCATAGGAAGCAGTGATGTGCGCGTCAGCCTGCTCCATGACCTGAAAGAGGCCCAGGAGCGGAGGGCACGTTCCTTCCAGGCTCTGCAACTTGTTTTGCTCCCAACCCAGGGCCCTCCTTTGCTGAAACTCCTCTGGCCTCAAGATTTATACTTTTTTTTTTTTTCAAATGCTGAAAATAAAAAATATCTGGCTTCCTCTAGCTAGAGACATCTGGGGAGTGTTACTTCTGAAAGTATTTTTGGCATGAAAACGTCACCCAAGTTGCTGGAAGTGATTTGGAAATTTTAAGGTATTGAAAGCATCTGACTAGTGTGGTGGTTGAGGCCGAGTGGGTAGAGGTTAATTATTACACTGGCTGGTCATTTCCCATTAGGATTCTTGCTCCCTGTGTTGTGTCTTTATTCTTAGGTCTTAAGGCTTTAGGTCAAGGATTGCTCCCCAGGCTGGTACATGGAAAGTGACAGAACAGGTACCTGGAGGGGACGAGTGGCCTGGGGGTCTGATAAAGGGGCGAACCCACTGCCATTGTTCCCCTAACCCTGCCTGGCTCCCTGGAAGTCCAGTATGTTGGGAGACCCACAGAGGGATCCTGGGGAATGCTAGGCTCCTGTGTTTGCTGATGGGCTCCCCCAGATAAGAGACGCAAGGTTCTGCCTCTCTGAGTGCCACGCAAGGTACCGGGGATCAGGCTAGACCAGCTGAGATGTTTCTCAGGATGAACCATTATACGAAGAACACAAGGAACGAGTGGGAATCGCAGCTAAGTAGGAAGCATCGGGGTCCAGCAAGCAGGTGCTGAGAATAGCCTAGGCCGGGGGGTGGGGGAGCAGGAGGCCATTGGGAACAGGCTGGGAAGGGGAGAAGAAGGCGAAGGTGAAGGCCAGTGGTTTGGACATTGCTTGGGGGTGGCGTGGTAGAGCAAAACATCCTCTGAACCAGGACCCATGGATTCTTGTTCTTATCCTGACTCTGCCACTTACCATTTGGGCACTCAACAACTCAATGATGCTGTTGCATTTGATCACAGGAGAATGCTGCCTAACCTTTGAAGTGTTGTATGTACGTGACCATCATGACCTCTGCCTACCTGCTCCCTGGGTGGAGACGATCTCATGGAGGAGATGCGAAAGTGCTTTGTGTTATGATGAAGTACATACATGAGCATGTGAGCCTCATGGGAATTAGCAGGAAGAGCATGGATACTGTGCTTCCTGATCTCTTGGAAATGTGTGCCATTTTGCAGTGACTCATGAAAGAAGCCACGTCTTCTCTGAGATGCCAAGTACAAGAGTGGGAGCAGGGGCTCAGATACAGCCTTCTTTTTCACCAGTTAGGAGACGAGCAAAGCAAAAGAGAGTGAGGTTCGGGGAGGTAATCAAACTCTTAGGGTCAGCTAGAAGGGCCTTCAAAAATGACCTTTCAGCCTTCTTGTTTTATAGATGGAAGTGAGCCCCAGAGAAAGGAAAAGAATTGCCCAAGAGCACACAGCGAGGTGTGGCTTCAACCCTAGGCGTGTGTGTTTTCCAGATCTGCACAATTCCCATGCTTGTTCCCAGCCAGGGACAGTCATGTTCCCCCCACACCCTTCACTGAACAGCAGGTCTGGCTCCCCCAGGCAGCCTGGAATGGGAGCCACGGGGCATGTAAGTTAACCTGCCACGCTGCCCTCATGTGTAGTGAGCAGATGGAGGAGGCATTCATTTCATCCTCGAGGTCAGAAGCCATTTTAGAAATCAGAGGCAGGGGTTATCTCCTGGTGGTGGGAGTATCAATGATTTTTATTTTATCCTTTATAATGTTCAGTTTATAATGATAACGTTTTATCCTTTATAATGTATAATATTTTATCCTTTATAATATCCTTTATAATGTTTTATCCTTTATAATGTTTATAATATAAAATATTACAACAAACATTTATAATTTTATAAACCCCACTCCCTCCAAATCTTATTATTTTTTTTAAAGATTTTATTTATTTATTTGATAGAGATCACAAGTAGGCAGAGGCAGGCAGAGAGAAGGAGGGGGAAGCAGACTCCCACCGAGCGGAGAGCCTGATGTGGGGCTTTATCCCAGGACCCTGAGATCATGACCTGAGGCGAAGGCACAGGCTTAACCCACTGAGCCACCCAGGCGCCCCATCCCTCCAAATCTTATATTGAAAAAGAAGGAAGTGGGAGGGCTGCGACATGCCCAGGTCTGGATTGAGGTCCGTTGGGCAAGGCCAACCAGTATCTGTCACACCAGTATCTGTTCCCCGAGCTGGGAGAGGTCCTGAGGTCATCCACCTCTCCAGCCTGGCACACAAGGCCAGCCAGGTAGCATCTCCCCACCTCCTGAAATGTCCTCCTCCCAACACCACTGCCAAACTGAACTCGTTAATAGGGTCCAACACAGTTCTGCTAGGTCCGTGAAGGTGTTTTAAAGCCCGCCTTCCCCCACTGGGACGAGCATCTTTCTCCCTCCTCTGACCACTAGTGGCACTTTCTTTGGATCCGTTTTGTCATCCTTATCTGCCTTGTCCTGGAGTCTTTTGTAACCAGGTCTGTCTCTCCTGCTGGGCTGAAGCCTCGAGGGTTGGGCCTGCATATCATTTATCTTTCTGCTTCCACGGATCTCCCCAGCCTGACACTGGGGCTCAGATCAATGTTTGCTGAACTGAAGCGAATTGAAAATACAGACTCCTAAAGGAGGATATGGCCATCCAGTGGTTTACAGCAGGGCTCCTCACCCTTGGTGCCCCTGCCCTTTGGGGTCCAATAATCCTATGTGGTGGGGAGCTATGGTTTAGTAGCGTCCTTGGCCTCTACCTACCCGATGCCAGCAGACACCCCCGGTTGTGACAAGGACATGGCTAAATGTCCCCTCGGAAGACAAAGTGCCTCCTGTTGAGAATCCCTGGATATGGTTGATACAGGGTGTTTCAGAAACAACCCCTTGGGGTAGGAATTCCCATTTAGCAGATGAGAAAGTCAAGGCTCACGCAGAGTTCGGATGGGGAGTAGAGTCTTGCCCATCCCACGACCCCGAGACCCCCACAGAACCCCAGTAAGGTCTTTAATTCTGTGCTTTGGCATGCCCACTCCACTCTCACCCTCCCACCCCCCTGTCCTGGGTTCCACCCTATCCCCTTCCCCGCTGCCTGTGCCAGGCTGTGACCTACTGGTTGACCCCGCTGGTCCATGCAGACTAGACCACAGGTGGAACCTCAGCCTGCACTCTCTTCTCCAGCACCTTGGCCTCCTCCCCATGCTTGAACACACTGATGGTGACCTGCCCCGTCTCAGAACCATACTTATTCTTGACGAAGACACCGTAGCGCCCACTGTCCTCACTGTTGACCCTTTCGATGGTGATGGTGACCTCCGAACCCCTCACTTCCATGCGGTAGCGGTCAAGGAAGGTGACAGGCTGGTCATTCTTCAGCCAAGAGATTTCAGGGGTGGGGTCTCCAGAGATGACACAGGTCAGGCACAGGGTCTGTTAGAAAAGACAGGAAGGGAATGCTCCATCTCACCTCCTTATAATCATACTTGGCATTCACCTTCACTCCCCCAGACAGCTCCCAGTACAAGTTGCTCCTGGTGATAAATTTATTATGTGAGTTCTATTATAACCCATAAAAGGATAACATTAAAGGGAGAGACATTTTATTTTAATCCCACATCCTCCATCCTCAAGATTTCTACAGGAATGCTTACTAGTTAGAATTTCCATCATTACCCTAGCAATCATCTGTCCCACACTGGCCTGAATTTTGCTTTATTGCTTTTTGTCGCATATATGCTGTTATGATTTTACTATGCAAATAAGACTATATTGCCTTAATAAGAAGATTTATGAACTGGGTTTGAAAATTCTCGAACAAGCTCTAACACAGAGCACTATAGTGTGGGGGTCGAACAGGCTCTGGAGCTGGGCACCGGCAGACTGACTCTCAGCTCTGTCCCTTCAAGCTGTGTGATCCTAGGAAAGTCTCTTGACCTCTCTGGGTCTCAGTTTGCTTCGCTATAAAGGGTGACTAATGGTAGTAATAATATTCTATTTCCTGTGGCTGCCTTGATGGTTAAACAGACTATAGTATGTACACATACAGGGAGCAGTGTCTGGCGCAAAGTAAGCACCATAGAGACATGAGCGATCATTTTCTAGAACACGAGACTTGCATACTTTCAGGTCAAGAGGGGCTTTTAGGGATCATGTAGTAGAACTCCTATGGGAATGGAAATGGAAGTTCATAGACAGAAGTCTGTGATGCCCAGGGCCACCTGTAGAGGTGGGGTGAGCACCCCCATGGGCCTGACCCCAGGCTCAGTGTTTCCTTGTGACCAACAAGGTGTGGTCACTTGGCCCGGCTCTGGCTCTTTCTGCCCTTGAATCCATGGTGCTACTTTGTACCATGATCTCTGATGGGTATAGAACAGTGGGAGTATAGGGTGGGCCGGCCGGCCGGCCAGCCACGGACTAGGGTCGCTCACTACCTTGTCTTCCATGATGGTGGCTACATCTGGCAGGCCCCTCACCACTTTGGCACGATCTGGAAGGGAAAAGAGAGACTCCAGTGATGAATGGTTTCCTGCCAGCTGCTTCCCAGAATCAGGTTCCACAGAGCTGGGGTTTACTTTTAAGCCACGTTTTCTTTTCTCCCTTTTCATCATTTTGGGTGGAAATCTTTAAATTTGCATTACGTGTTTCCTTGCCTTTCCCAACAGAAGATGGGGGACATACTGTGCTTGTGGTATGGACTTGAAGTGATCCTGGTAATGACTGGTACCTGGAAGGGACAGGGAGGTGCCCCTGCCCTCAAAAGTGGGGAAGGAGGAACTGGCTGGGGACACGTGATGAAGCTCAAGCAGGTGGATTTGGCGGGGGTGTTCCTGTTGCTCGAGGGCAAGCCAGGTCCCTCTGGGGTTGGGCCTGTGTCCCAGACCAGGTGAGGCCTCAGTGTCCCCACCAGCCAGAACCAGCTTCAGCTCAGAGGCTGTCCCTTCCCCAGACGTCATGCAGAGAGCCCGCCCAGCCTCATTCCTGTCTGCGCCCGGCTGCTGCCCTTGACCTTGTCCGTGAGCCTGCTCGGTCCACACCCACCATCTCCCTGATCCTTGGACCCTTATCCATCCATCATCTGCTTTTGGGCTGCTGCTGCTCACGGCTGCACAAACCCCATGGGGAACTAGGACTTTAGACGCCTGTTGGGAGGTAAACTCATGGGAAGGTGCCCCAAACCCAGACACGGAAACACCAGAAATACGAGGGGACTTACTCTTCTCAATGATGGCCAAGGCTCTGAAAAACAGAAATGGGTAAAAGTTTGAGTTCCATTCGTGAAAGATCAGGCCCGCCCCGGGCAGGGGTGAAGGGGTGACGAGGGAAAGGTGGAGCTGGCCCAGGCTCCCAGGAGGGGGTCCTGTACCCAGCTCGTGCCATACCCCCAGGGGCCTATGATTCACCCAAGAGATGCAGAGGGCACTTACTTCAGTCTCTGGTGCTCAGCCAAGGCGTCGTCAAAAGCTGCCAGAAGGAAAGAGGGGGAGGGGAGGGGAGGGTCAGCCCCTCAGCCCCTGTGACCTGCAGGAACAGGGCTTCATGATGACTGTTCCTCCGCTGCCCTCCCTGTCCTGTGTTCTCTCAGGGCACTGCCCGGACTGGGTGGGGAGACAGGAGTCCCCTTCCCCGCAAAGACATAGGATTCTCTAAGCAGGTTTCTCTGCGGACAGACAGGTGGCTGGCTCACCTTGTCCTGAGAGATCCGTTGAGAGCTGCCGGGTATCCTTCCCTGCGGCTATCTCCAGGGTGTATTTGCCCTTGTCTGAGTCTTTCGGGTCCAGGATGTGGAGCCAGATCTCATCCAGGGTGGTTCCAGCCCTTATCCGGTCACCGCTCTCCAGGCGCTTTTCTCTGGGTATGAGGACAAAGAAATGTGTGACTTGGCTCAGCTCATCGTGCTGGCTGGCTGTGGGGCTACAGGCACTCCCTGCCCCAAACTCCTCTCCTGGGGTTTCGTTTCCAGATCTGTGAGCTGGCCAACCATCCATCCATCCATCCATCCTTCCATCATTTATTCGTTGGTTCATTCATTTGTTTGTTCAGCAAATCTGTGGCACATCAGGTAAGTTCCAGTGCTGAGTCTACCTGTGACATGTCCTTCAGGCTCCCGGGTCAGTGCCTACCACCTCCCCCACCCTCAGGGGTCACTTCCCCACCTCTTCCTTCTCGGCAGCTTAAACCCTTCCAGCGTTTCTTTGAACAATCATCCTTCCCCAGCCCTTAAAAACCATAGAAACTCCCTTCTTTCTTTACTGAAATGTCATTCCTGGAGACACTTGGTCCATGTCTTCAGTGTTGGGTCACAGAGGTGACACCTCTGGTCTCGGTCACTAGGCTCAGTAACTCTAGTTGGGAAAGGAGCCCTCGGCTTTGGCTCTCACTCATTTGACAAACTTGACCAAGTCAGTCTAGCCTTTTCCATAGGGCAGGTGCAGTGATGTCTGCTCTGCGAGGCTGAGGCATGCAAATGACAAGCAGCCTGGGAAAAGAATGCTCTCAAGCTGTCTGTGGTCTCTTAGCTCCTAGCTGAGTCTCTGTGGATAACTTATCCATCCTGCCTTCATGCCCTGGCACTCAGTCAATCGTCAGCCCCACAGGTCCCTCTGCCTGCACCTCTCCTCTCAGCCTGGCTGCCTGAGTTGCCTGGGGCTGCAAAGACCCATAGGGGCACCGTGACTCCCCTGACCATCTGGTCTTCCTTTCCTCCCCCAGTTCCCAGATGCTGCTTTTAGACAATGATCCTTCTGTGGCCACGGATGTTCAGGAAAAATGGTTTTATCACTAGGGTTCTGACCTTTGCTGGGGAACCTCCCTTCTCTACCTTTAATTGCTGTTCCCTATCCCCAACTCCCTCTGCGGACAGCACGACTGGTGGGAGACCCTGTGTCTGCCAACCCCTTGGGACTGGGCTCTGGGGCAGATGCCCCCTGTCCTTCCCCACCCTCTACCTCCCTGGCCTGCAGGGAAAGGCCGACTTACTTATGGAACCAGGTGGTTCTCATATACTGGATGTCAAAGTACTTGACCTTACTGAAGATCCGGATCCCCTCCTCGGTCCCCTCGATCTTCAGTGGGGTCGCAGAGAGGGCTGGGGAGGCAAAGGAGAAGGCCAAGGTCCTTTGGGCAGAGCATTCTGGGGCCAGCCAGCTCAGCCCTGCTCTGGGGGTGTGGTGGAGGGAATGTGGCATTGCGAGGAGGCAGGGATTCTTTGAGGTTGGAAACGAAACCCAGGCCCAGTAGCCCAGGCTTGATGGAGGGGCCCTGGAAGCTCTTTGCCTCAGGACAGGGCTAGCGAAGCAGGGAGTGGGGCTTGCTTACCACCAATCCTGCCCAGCTCAGTGAAGATGGCATCCAGGGCTGGAGGAAGACGGAGAGAATGGTCAGCTGATGTGGGGACCTCCCAGGGATGTGCCTGGGTATGTCCCTGGGAAAGGCTGGTGGAACCATGAAGAGCTCAGCACACAGGGGGCACAGCAGGATGACTCCCATGGCTTGGGGGTGGAGGGGGTCTGGGGCACTCACTGATTGATGGGGCAGGGGCACACCATGGAGGGAGGACAAATGGGCCAGCCTGACCATTTTCTTGAGGCTGGGCCAACCAGCCTGATGAGGAGTCTGGGGCCCAGTGTGGGGCAGGGGAGCGAACTCTGGTTTTGGCTCACTGTGGTATACTACAGAGAACGAGGGTGTTGGTGTCACAGACCAGGCCGCTGCCACTGACCAGCTGTGCAGCCTTGGGCAGGTCACTTAGGCTCTCTGTTGCCTCCAAGTGATATGGGGATCCCATAAGTTTGACCCCACATCTTCTGAGTCCGTGTGATTCCCTGGGTCCCCGTGGCCCATGTCTTTCCTCGCCAACTCCTACCTTCCCCTGTGAGGTCCAGAATTGTGTCATCCTCCCCTCGGTCATCAGAAACCGTTGCTCTATAAATTCCCTTGTCCTCTTTGGACAGCTGGAAAGAAAGATGAGAGATGACATGGTGTCAGCATGGGTTCTGGAAGGAGTACCAACCAGCCTGGACTCCGGGCCTGCTCCTAACTCTGTATGATCTCAGGCAAAATTCCCCCCTTTCTCCTCTCTGGGCCTCAGTTTACCCATCTGGAATGGATGATTGCTGAGGCTCCTTCTAGCTCCAGAGCTCTTTGAATCAGGTTTGGGTCGTGTCTGGGCCTCGGGGTGGGGATGAGGGGGAACTGAGGGCAGAAGCAGACACCCCACATTTGGAGTCACAGGAAGCTGCGCCAACCAGAGCATATGATGAGCTCTCCTTGCAGTCCCCTGAGCTGGACTCCTCCTCCCTGGAGGTCCCTGGATGGAGGGACCGGGGGACCCCTCTGCCCTTGTCCAAAAGGAAGTGTGTTATCTTTGGCCCAGGACAAAGGGCTTCTTTCTGGCTTATGCTTGCCATCCCCAAATGAAGTCTGAACTAACACTCTGCCCAGCAAGAACTTGGGTTGGACTTTGAAGCCTTGGGAAGTGCTCTCTGCTTCCCTGTCCCCTCCAGGGGGCCCTCCCACTTTGTCTCTACGTAGTGTGTTTTGAGGCAGAATCCAAGGCAGAGACAGCTCTTAACCTGGGGACAGAAGGGCTGAGCCCCACTAACCCTCTCTTATGTCTCCCCACCCTTTCCCCAGGGAAGGTTCCAAAGTCCCAGCCGAACCTGGGGGGAGAATGATTGGAGTGACTTCTAAGCCCACTCTCTAGCCTTGTGTCTTGGTGTGTAAACCCTCGGGGCCTCCATTTACTCATCTTTAGAATGGTGGCATCATCCTTGCCTGGCTATGCACTGTAGTCGCTGTGGGGATCAAGGGAAGCTTGATCTGGGAAGCCGGTAAGTTCTGTGCCAGCTGGACAGACTGTTAGAACAAGCCTCAGTAGCTAGGAAGCACCTACTTGTTGATAATCTCTGTTTAAGGAGCATGCACTGTGGTGACAAAGGCCAAGTCCTGGCTGGGATTTGGGGGGAAAGACCTGAAATCATTATTTCCTTCCTAGTCAGCAAACCTGCATATGCTCCAGTCCTCCTGGACACCCCGTGAGGCCACAGAAACCAGCAGTGGGGCAGAAAAGCATTGAATGTTTGGGAACAAGCCTTGTGCTTCTACTGTAACCAGGCCACCCTCCTCTGGAGGCCAGGAGGAGACTGTGGGCTGGAGAACGGGCCTCCAGCCCTGCTTTGCTCTGCCCAGCCCTGCCCCACAGAGAGAGACTTCCTGTCCCGAATCCCAGACTGTTGACTGAGGTAGGACCAAACCTTTGAGAGACAGCATCCCTTCTGACCCAATTCATGTTATAGATGAAAACCAAGGTCACAGAAGGACAGTGACCAGCCCCAGGCCACACAGTGGCAGGCCCAGAAATGGAATCCAAATGAAAGGAAAAATCAGTATTACTGTTTCTGACTTTATTTGAAATTTTGCTATTTCCTCCTCCATGGGCTTTTTTTTTTTTTTTTTTCATTAATTTTGACTAAAAAAAAAAAATACTGCCTGAAATATTAACTTGATTACTGAGTTTTCAGTGCCCCCTTACATTTTGTGCTCGAGGTGAGCGCCTCACCTGCCTCCCCCTGGCCCTGCTCCTGACTCTGTGCCCAGAGCTCTGGGTGCTGTCAGGGGTGTGTGAGCCCTGAAGCGGGAGCTGTACTTTTTTTTACCTCCTCGATGCACAGAGTTCCCACTCCAGTCTCTGGGTCGTACTGACCGTCCGGTGTCTCTCTCTTCTGGAAGAACCACTGGAAGCGGGTTTCCTTCTTGGTGTTGGTCGCCTGAGGGGCGATCAGCGAAGAGGGCGATCAATGAAGAGAGACTCCCTCACGTTTTCTCACATTTTTAAGTAAAAACTCATCAGCTCTTTTTTTCCTCCCACAAACCTGACTCTCTCCCACCCCCGTACTCTTAGCTAATTCCTTCCTAGATCTCCGATAGTCCTTCCTCACACCGTATCTCCTCTGCTGGTTCCGCATTCTGGATTTTCACTAATGGTGTTCCCTCCGCCTTCTGCTCACTTCCCAACTCCATTTGTCCTTGTAAGTCCCTATGCATCTTAAGGAAGCAAGGAAGATGTCACCTCCTCCAAGAGGCCTTCCTTGAAGCACCCCAGAGTGCCTCAATCATGATTAACTGATTTCCTGCACATGCTGCATCACAGCAGGAGACATGCTGTTTTCTAAGGATCCTGCCTCAGACCCCTGGGCTCCGAGAGGCCCAAGGAGACCCCACTTCTTCGTCTTTGTATGCCCAGGGCCTTGGGGAGTGCTTGGGGATTCCCGGAGAGCACTTGCCCCTGCCCTTCCTGCCCTTCCCCAGTCGTCTGTAGAGGCTGCAGAGTGCTGAGAAGGAGCCCCAGCTTTGGAGTCAGACAGATCTAGACTCTTCCCGCTTGGGTGTGGTCTTGAGCTCTTTCTCTACTTGTTTTCGGATCCATGTCCATCTCACAGACGATCGCGAGGCGGATGAATCCCGAGCACAGGGTCTGGGAAGGCTACTAATAAACGTCAGGGAGTCCCCCTCAATCTATACACCCCTCACTTGTTCCCAGATGCCCACGCCCCACAGAACCCCTTTGCCGGAGCGGCGGGGAGATCTGGCTGGAGGCTGATCCAAACCACACTAATTCGGCTCCGTGGGCTCTTGCGGGGGTGGGGGGCGTAAATTTTGTTTCCCAGTTAAATGTGGTCTCCCTGGGGCTACTTCTCCTCCGGGTCAGCCAAGCACAGGAACTCGGGAAAGTGGGCAAGGACAGCCACCCGGACGAGCCACACGCGCCCCGCCCTGGGCCAGGGGGCGGGGCTGGAGGCGGGAGCGGGGATTTGCCTTGCAGGTCAGCAGCACTTGGCAGTCCTCGGTGACCTTCCACTGCAAGGGCTCCACGAAATGCGGACCTGGGAGCGCAGAACAAACACGCCCACCGTCAGGGCGCCACCTGGTGGCCAGGTGGGGCGCAGCTAGTGATTACAGGCCCCTCAGACTCGGCCCCCACCTCGGCAGGGACTGCGGCGACGCAAGGGGGGTGCGTAGGGCACGACATTTAAGGAGGTATTACTCTCAGGGTTGGATCGACTCTCGGGGGTGTCGCTCTCTGTTTTGTTCTTGCACGGGGACAGAAGTGGATTGCATTGCAGTCGCTCCCTCTGGGACCCGGCGGAGCTGAGGGATGGATTAGCCCACCTATCCAGCACCCAGCAGGTCCCCAGCACGGAACACTGGCCTCTTTTGAACTCCCCCGCCAGCAATTCTTACCCTGTTTTCTCTTCCAGTCTCTTCTCTGAGCCTCTGCTTTCCTCAGAAGTTTGTCAAAATCTGTGAACACAGAGGAGCGAACTGGCCTGAGTGGGAGGCGCGCGGGTCCGGAGAGGGGCAGCGGGAGGGACAGAAGGCCCCAGGCCAGAGAGCGGAGGGCTGAGGTCTGGCATGTGGGGGTTGGGCAGTGGGCGTGGCTGACCGTCATCCACCAGCGCTAGGGTGATCTGGTTTTTGGCTTTTCCATCCTGGAGCTGGGCGGTGTACGACCCTTTGTCATCCTCCGACAGATTCTGGATGATCACTTCCACCAGGCCCTTCTCTCGGACAAAATTGATTTTGCGGTTCTGGGGAGAATAAACCCGGAGAATCTTTTTTGCCCTTTTCCTGTCCCAGGGGATTTGTGCTGTGGGGCACAAATCAGAGTGTACTTGGACTTGGGGGGTGGTATGTGCAGAGTGACAAGCCTTCTGAGGCCGGGGCAGAGTCCTGGGAACACCTGTGGGGCCCAGCAGGCACAGGAAAGAGTCTTGGGTGCTTGAATTAATTGCAATGAATAATAAACCCCTGCCCCCCACAGTGCCACATTCTCTACTTCTTTCTACAAATCCCCATAAACGTATGAAGGATAATATGAAAAATGCCTGTGAACTTGCTCCCCAGAACTAACACTCACTTACATTTTGTTGTGTTCTAACAGTTTTTAAAAACTTTATTTTCCTCATTTAGGATTGTATTCCCTCTGGATTTATTTGTATGTATGATTTGAGGGAGGCAGCTAGGTTTATTTTATTCTTCTGTAGGGACGACCAATAGTCCCAATGCTGTGCATGGCAGACCGCAGACTTGGTCACACATCCTCTACCGTGTGCCAAAGTCATGATTAATCTTTACGCAGAACTTTTGGATCAGTTTTCTCATTTGCTTCTTCTGATTCTGGGACAACCCACTATCGCTGTACAGATACAGAAACTGAGGCACAAAGAAGTGAAGGGCACACGGCCCACAGGAGGTGGGTAGGAGTCCTGAGCTCCCTTTTCTCTTTTGGAACCAGTGCCCCTCTCTGTAACGCATATCCTCTGATGGTAACTTTGCCACCCAGAGATGGAATGTGCAAATAATCAGATGTCATGATTGATCTCTCCTGAAATCGAAATCGCCATGTTTGTAAAAACATGATTGATTATGGGCAGTTCATGGCTCAGTCTAATACAACCTACACACATGATTCCGCCCTCCCCCCCAGGAAAGCAATGTAATACCACAACTGTCAAATGAAGAAGAAATAAAAGCCAAATAAAATGTATTTCAATAGTAGCTGCTCAGACATAATTTCACTCATGTGCGCTGCTTTATAATGAACTGGTTTGAATTTAAGGGAAGTTAAGTAAAGCAAGAAGGTCAAAGTGATTTGTATGAGAAGTAGAGGAAAATGAATGAAAAAACATAAGTAAAGTGGCTTATAGGAAAAAGTCTCTGTTCGGTGTATATTAAAACTGTGCAGGAGCACCTGGGTGGCTCAGTCAGTCGAGCGTCTACCTTCGGCTCAGGTCATGATCTCAGGGTCCTGGAATCGAGCCCCACCTTGGGCTCCCTGCTCAGCGGGGCGTCGTTTTCTCTCTCTCCCTCTGCCCCTTCCCACAGATTGTGCTCTCTCTCTCTCTCAAATAAATAAAAATAAAATCTTTTAAAAACCCGCAAACTATGCAGAAGTCCTTTGTATTTATATTACCAGCTTAGGGTCTAGGCTTGGATAATTATGAGCATGAATGTAGGTTTTTAATCTTAAGAATGTCTGGTGGGGCATTCAAGAGTGGTGTGTCGGGGGGCATGGGGATTCTTTATCTGTGGGAGAGTCCCTTGCATTGGCGGGCATCTAGCCAGGAGCCTCCCCCACCACCAAAGGCCAGGTGTCCCCACCCTCAAGCCATCCCTAGGACAGCCAAAGCATGTGGCTGTTTCTGAAATGTCCACTAGGGGGCGGTGCTGGGCTGTGGCGAACCACCGCCCCTAGAGGCCACGTCCGACGCAGCGGAACCTCCCAGAAGCAGTCTGAACCCCCAGTTACCGGCGAGCTGAAGATCTCCTTCTCATTGAAGATGAGATGCAGCTCAGCAGCTGGAGATAATTTTTCTACTTCCAGCCACAGCCGCACCTCTCCTTGTTCAAGGATGTCGACGTTCCAGCCCGAGATGAGCTTGATCGCTGGGAGGCAGAGGACACGGAGGGGGTGGGTGGGGCACCGGTCTCCCCTCTGCACTCCCAACCAGCCCCACCTTGAGCACACCCTGGGCATTTAAAGGGCAAAGTGCCTGAGGCATCTGAAGGCCTTGCGGCTCACTCATGTTGCACTGATTTATAATGATCTGGTTTGAATTTAAGAGAAGTAAAGCAAGAAGATCAAGAGCTATTTTGCACAAGAAGAACGGGAAAGTAGAGGTTTAAATAATCCAAAATCTGAACTACTAAGGGGCCAGGGATAATGATTATAAGGAGACAAAACCCCGTCCCCGCCCTGCCCGCCACCCCTTTCCCACTCAGGGAGGGCTGACTCCCTGGGCCCCTGACCCTCCAGCCCCATGACTCTCCCGTCCTCTGCCCCTCAGCTAGGTTCTGGCTCTTGGCCCCATTCAGCTCTGCTCCCGACACCCCAGTGGGCCCAGCTTACTTGGGTTTCTGATCTCATGGCTCAACTTCTTCAGCTTGCCCAATTCTGGGACAGGAAGGAACAAGGGGAAAAAAAACAAACAAACCAAAAACAGAGAATGAAATGCCTGAGCAGTGGGGTCCATGCAGGCCATCCCAAGAGACTCCCCCCGCACCTCAACCGGGAGTCACTTGCTACACAGGGGGTGATGGTGAGCACTGTGGGGCTTGGCCCTGGGGCACTGACGGGGATCGGGGGATGTTGCTGCGGGACACCCTGAGATCAAGGGCCACCTCCTCCGAGAAGTGGGTGCCCACCAGGGCCAGGCACCACATTACCTCACTTGTCCTCACACAATGCTGTGGGGCGAGCCCTATTGTCCATCACCACCCCCCCGCCCCAGCTTCACTGGTTCCTGAGCCTCAGCGCTCACCCACCGTACTCTGCTGTCCCATCTGCTGTCCCATCTTGGAGGGTCTAGCCCCCACCCTGAGCACTTAAGTCTACAAGTCTCTAGAGCAGCTCGGTGGCATGTTGTCTCTTCGCTTACTGCCTCTTTGGTTTGGGTTTGCCGATTTGTCTCTTCTGCTAAGCTGAGCTCTGGACCTCCAGGAGTGTCTGCACATGGCACATAGTAGGTGCTCAATAAATATGTGTTGATGGGGGCTCAGCTGTTAAGTTCTGCCTTGGGCTTGGGTCATGATCCCACAGTACTGGGATTGAGCCCCAGTATCCGGCTCCTTGTTTGGCAGGAAGCCTCCTCCTCCCTCTCCCACTCCTCCTGCTTGTGTTCCCTCTCTCTCTGTGTCTCTCTCTCTCTGTCAAGTAAATAAATAAAATCTTTAAAAATATATGTGTTGATAGAAGAATTGGCAAGGGTAGAGCCCATACTTCATCTTCCCTTATAAACCCCAGCGTCCTTAGTATGAGTCTGGACTCGTGGCAAGTTAAAACAAAATAAAACAAAACCCAAAATGTATCCTGTGTGTGGACGGCTTTGATGTGCCTAGAACATTGTATTTGAGTAACAAAACCACGGGGTTTATGATCTCCCATTACAGGTGAGCAAACTGATGTCCAGAGAGGTGACATAACTTGCTCAGGATAAGAAAGCCAGAGAACGATGGAACTGGAATTGGACCCTGAGCCGGTAGCTGTCTTCTGCTTCTTCACAAAGTCAGAGGGTCTCCTAAGCAATCAGCAGGGAAGGCCCTGGGAGGTCCCCCAGTGACTCTGGAGACAGCAGAGCGTGAGTCTCGTCAGTCCTCAGTACTGGTTTCAGTTCTGCTTAAATTATTAAACGTGGATGACCCTTGAGTCGCAGCGTCTACTCTCGGGTTTGCCACAGTCCCCACTGCTCCCTGTTGTCATCCTCGCTGCTCAGACCAGCTGCCATCTGCAATTTATCCTGACACTGCACTGTTGTATTTCTGGGGCTCCAAAAGAAGGGGAAAGGATCCTGGTACCCTTGCTTTTATAGGAAGTAGAAAAAGGAAGGAGAGACCTGAAGGACGTGAACTCCACCAAGTGGGGATTTTTGACTGTTGCCCCCCCCTCCCCTGGTGTAATGCCCAGTGCCTAGGACAGTATTTGGTTTAGCGTAGTGCTCAGTGAATCCTGATTAACTGCCTGGCTGACTGAATGGGTGGGTGAGGGCCTACTTCTCCGGAAATCACTGCTTTATTAATTTTTGTTGCTTCTCTCCAGCTTCTGGGGCCATTTGCATCTGGGACTCTCAATCAAAGCCTCCCTGGGGAGGTGGTAGTAGAACAGAGACATCACCTTCCTCCGTCAGTGTGTGGCTGGCTGAGATGTCTTCATCAGCATCAGTGACCACGACGGAGTAGGTGCCCAAGTCCTCAAGGCCAGGGTCTTTCAGGATGACCTTGGATCTGGCAGACAGAGGAGAGTAGAGCCTCAGTGAGGCGCCTTGTGCACTGGAGGCCTGGGAGCCGGGGGCCCTGCACCCCAGCCACAGCTCCGGCCATGTTAGGCAGCAGGGATGGTTGCCTCCTTGCATCCCCGTGGGGAGCCCTACCCAGGGCAGCTCTGGCTTAGCCCCTTCAGTGGCCCTGTGGGCCAGGCTCTCTTCTTACTGGCTGCACTGCCCAGTCTCTCCCCCTAAAACCCCAGGACTCCAGTCATTGTCTGGACAGGGCTGAGGCCAGAGCTGCTGAGGGTGGGGGAGTGAGACATGGGGCAGCTGACATCTGGTCCCAAACCCCTTCTTTTACAGATGAGAGTGCTGGGCCCAGACAACTTTCAGGAGCAAGTCACCATTTGCAAGTGTCCAGGCTAGAGACCAAGGGCTTCGTGCTTCCCTGGAAACACAGGTGCAAAGGCACACAGCATTCCTTGCAGAAGGAGAATCGCTAGTGAATGTTGTCCTTTCTGCCCTTAAATTCACTGTCCCCCTTCTTGCTCCCTCAGGTGGTATGTGGCATCCTTGGTGAGGGACCGGGCAGCCCCTGGCAGGCGCGTTATCCGTGAGTTCCGCCAGGTGGTCTCACCCATGAGCTTCTGCAGACTCACCTGTGGACCAGTTAGACCACCCCCTCTCCCCTCACTTACTTGTTAGCCTTCTCCTCGATCTTGACCCTCTGGGGGTCTGGCGGGCCCTTGTAGTCCTTGGACCACTGAAACTCTGCTGAGTCAGGGGCCTCTGGAGCTTCGAAAGCCAAGTAGATAAGGCCTTCTTCATCCACACCAACCTTGATCTCTCGGGCATCTGAGGGCAGGATTCAAGGGCGGGGGCCAGGAGATATTTAGAAGTGACAAACCAGGTCATACACCTTCCATGGCTGCCCATGGCGCTTGAATAAAATACTAATCCCCATCCCCTTGCCATGGTCTCCAAGACCTTGTGATCAGCTTCTTCTCAACTCAAACGTCACACCTCCTCAGGGATGCCCTCCCTGACTGCTCTGGCTAAAGTAAGCCCCACCCCGCCATACCACCCTGTTCATTTCTTTTATAGTTCTTACTAGCCTCTTGGATCATCACCTTCATGTCATTATTTCTCTGCTTCCTGTCCATCCTGCCCCTCCCCCAAGCTTGAGCATGCGCCTTGCTTTCTCGTCACTGTTGTGTCCCCAGTACAATGTGGGTGTCCCCCAAGATTTGTTGAATGAGTGAATAAGTAAAAGAATGGAAAGACAATGTGCTTTATAGTTTGCAGAGTTGAGTGATTCCATCATGGACCAGCCGTGTGACTAGATCACTCAAATTCAGAGCTACAGAAAAATCGGTTCTAAGGTGGGGGCAATGATTCCTCACGCAGGGGCTTGTGGGGAGGGCCAGGGCCCTGTGAGGATCTGCCTTAGCACCTGGTGTGGGTGGTAGGAGAGGACCTCAGGAATTGTGACTGCAAGAGAGACAAAGCCTCACGGGGCATCTGGAATGCAGCTGGGTATTATTTTAAACATCGAGGAAGAGCTGTGTGAATTTATGAATACAGCGTATGAAAGAAGGGAGAAAGAAGTGCTCGTATCTTGGGATCCCAGAGAAAGAAATGGGAGTGGGGCATGGGGGAGAAACAGGCAAGAAGGAAAGTCAGAGCTGGGTGACATGTGGTGGGGGGCAGCAGGACGGGGTCCCCTCCTGCTAATAGAATCATATGCTCCTCCCGACCCTCCTCTGACCTCCACCTGTCCTAGGTGGCACAGCCCGGCCCTATGGGGCTAGCACCTCTGTCCGTCCCTACCTGGCTTGTCTTCCAGGAGTATGGGGTCAGTGGGCATGGATGGTTGTCCCGGACCTGCCGAATTCACAGCCTGAACTTGGAACACGTAACTCTTCCCCGGCTGCAAGTCAGAGATCTGGGGGAGGTGGAGGGGTGGGCAAGTGTGAGCACAGAGGACAAAGAAGACCAGACCTTTCTCCAGCCATGGCTTTGGGCTGGAGGGAGCCCCTCCCTCCTGGGACTCAGCAGGGAGCAGGCTGCCCCGGGGTGCACTCCCCGGTCCCAGGTCCCAGTTTGTAGTGGGTCCCTGCATGGGTATTACCTCCCACCCCCGTGGGCCCTGGAATTCTGCCCGCTCAACTCATCACCTGCCTCTCCACAAGAAGACACTCTCCCTTCCTGCGCCCCAACTCTCCTCCATCCATCACCCCAGAGAGACGCCAGGGGACCATCTCTGACATCTTTTTCTGGAGCCCTATACATCTAATCAGTGAGTTCACATTTTATTCCCCTAACATGTCTTGAACGTGACTTCTCTCCATGTCCCAGCCATGGCCCCAATCCAGGCTTCATTTCTCCTCACCTGATTAGTCCAGCAGTTTCCTAAATGCTGTCCCTGACTCTAGGCCCTTCTTCCCAGTCAACCTTTCCTTCTGCCAATTTTTCTAAGACGCCGGTCTGTGTTGAAACCTTTCAGTGGCCTTCAGGGTGAAGTTCAGATTTTGCAGTTTAGTCCCTGAAGTCTTCCTAATCAGGCCTTAGCCTCCTGTGTTCTTCCTCTCTGGGGGTCCCCTTTACTCCATGGCTCCCTCCAGGTGCCCATGTTCATCTCATCTGTTTCCCCTTTCATAGTTCTCTGCCTTTGTCCTTGCTGAGCCCTCTCCCTGGAATGCCCTCCCTTCTTTCTCGGTCTAGCCAACGCCAACTTGTCTTTGCCTGCTCAGCTCAGGCAGATCCGAGGATTCCAGGAAAGGCCTCTTATCTTCCTCCATGGAACTCCCAGAATCCTGTTGGACCCCCTCAGTGGTACAGTGCACAGTCTGGTAATTGCCTGTTACCCTAAAGACCAAGACTTATTTAACTCTTTCTGTCTAAGACCTGGTTCCAGACCAGGCGCTAAGTTGGTGTCAAGAGGCATTTAGTAAATGACCGAGTGAATGCCAGTCAACGACCCGCACTGCAGAAATGGGCCAAGTAACCGAGGCTCACCCAGCCCTGGCCTGGGCTAACCTATGTGGGAGGCAGAGGGACCGTCCATCTCACAGGGCTCTCTCGGGCCAGCTGCCCCGGGGCTGGCTGATTTAACCGCAGGGAGCCTGGCCCCATGGGGCAGAAACCACAGAGTCTTAGAGCATCCCCCTGGCTAAGGCTTGTTTTCCCTGCTTCTGTTTTAGGTGGGTTTACTGTTATTTTTTTTTGAAATGAAAGATTTTTTTCCCCCAATATAAAAGACATACACAATTGTTGGGAAAATATTAAAGCAATAAAGAATATAAAAGGAAGGGTTATAGCCTCCCTGGCAGCCCCCTCCCCCCAGAGATGGCCAGAAATATCAATTTTGTAAAGATCTGTTTAGACTTTGAAATGCACATAAGCCGTGAGAAATGTGGAGTGCACACTGTTTGTTAGTATCTTCTTTCCGCATTATTTTGGGCGTCTCGAACTTGCCTTCTTTCCTCTTTGGTGCTCACTGATGGGATGCACATGTGTGGTCTTGAAAACCCCTCACCCTCCCGCCTGCTGGAAAAACACCTCATCGAAGTGAGCTGGAGAAGACATTTCCCCTTTCCCTAGAGCTCCAGAAAACAAAATCCAATCCACATCACAGAACTGTCCCCCCCACCGTTTCTCAAACACAGGCGAGCTGTGAGTCAGGCTGGCCGCAGAGCTGGGCGCTGGGTGTGCGGCAGTGGGGGTGGGGTGGGATGGGGTGGGTGGTGGGTGGGTGCGTGGGCGGGGCAGCTCCCCCAGGAACCCGGAGGTCTGGATTCTCACTGATGGTCTAAAGTTGTGATTTGTGTCCGCTAGGAACACTGCAATCGACACTTATTTTGTTTTCCGGCATGGACAATTTCTGTGAGTTAGTGGAAGTTAAAACGACCATCCCAGGTGAATAACACCGATGATTCTGCTAAATTTCTTATTTATCCCAAGAGTTGAGAGTTTCTCATGTAAATTAAGAAATAGCTATCTGCGTAGATGTTCGTTAATGTATGAAGTACATATGTAGTATCTTTTCTTTTCTTTTTTTTTTTTTTTAAAGATTTTATTTATTTATTTGACAGACAGAGATCACAAGTAGGCAGAGAGGCAGGCAGAGAGAGAGGAGGAAGCAGGCTCCCGGCCGAGCAGAGAGCCCGATGCGGGGCTCGATCCCAGAACCCCGGGATCATGACCTGAGCCGAAGGCAGAGGCTTTAATCCACTGAGCCACCCAGGCGCCCCTGTAGTATCTTTTCTAACATGAATAGCCTACTTGTATTCTGATTTTTTTCTTAGCCACCTATGATGGATATATTTTCATGTCAAAACATACCTGCAGGTCCAACCCATTGTCCTTAAAATACCATAGTCTTGATACTACTGAGCACAGGATTCCGTCTGAAGGATACACTGATTTATTTAAGCGAAGCCCCTACGGATGGACATTTAAATTGTTTCCAACTTTTGCCTTGATAAATAATGCTGCAGTGAGCATCTTTGCCCTTGGATCTTTGCCCATTTGCTTAATTCTTTCCCTACAGTCCAATCCCAGAAGCAGAATTCCTTGCTCAAGGGAGATGCATGTCCAAGGCTGACCTACCTGGCTGATGGGGGTTTAGGGAGGAGTCTGCCCAGCCTGGAGCAGGTTAAGACAAGCAGCCATCCAGCCAGCCTGACTGTCAACTTACTGCGTGACCCTGGGTGGGGCTCTTCCCCTCTCTGGTCCTCCGCTGACCTTAAGTGAGGGCAGCGATCTCTGAGGGTCATGCTGGCTCTGAAGTTCTGTAATCCTGCCATGTCCAGTGGCAGGGAAGGCTCAGGGGGTGTCAGGGGGTGAAGGGGCAGGGACTCACCCTCAGGTGGGTGCCAGAGATGAGGTCTGGGGTGACCGGCTTCCATTCTTCACAGCCTTCCTCTTGGACACTGATGCAGTAGCCCGAGACGGGCCCGGCCCCGGTGTACAGTGGGGGCTCCCACTTCAGCATCAGGGAGGTGGCCCGCACCTCGAATGCCTGCACATCATACGGGGGGCCTGTGGGAGATGGGGCAGAGGAGGAGTGGGACAGCCAGAGAGGTGGGCAGCGAGCTGGGTGGTCAGTCACCAACCCTTGTCAGTCTGTCAGTTACAACCGGGCCAGGAAGTGCCTGTTCTGGGTATGGCAGGGACCTGGCAGGTCTTGGCTTCATGACAAAGCTTGGTCTTGACCTGGGCCTGAGATAGGGTTAACTCTTCAAAACAGGCTTAGCCTCACTTTTTCCAGAAGTATCCGTGATCTTCCCCTTCCTTATCCCAGGGGGCTGTAACCGTTCTAACACCTTTGCTTTCTCAGTGATCAGTGTAGGGGCAAAGGTGTGACCTCACTGGGGTTCGTGCCCCAGCTCCACCTTCTCTGGCTATGGGGACTCTGGGCAAGTTATTTGGCCCCTATGTGTCTGTCTCCTCATCTGCAAAGTAGGGATAATAATAGTTCTTAAAATCCAGTGCTATTATGAGCATTGATGGCAAAACTTGTGGAATCTGTGGTACATGGTAAGTACCCAACAAATATCAATTGTTCATAATATTGTCTCAAGCATCCCATCTACTAATGATCTGCCATTTGCTTGAAAAAACCAGCACTGAACTGAACAGAATGATGGAAAGTTGTGATCCTTCCTTCCTAGGGAGGAGGTGAGGGCTCATTTGGGTAAAAGCTAACAGGGTTGTGGGAGTGGTGTGCAGGGTGAGGGTCACCCTAGCAGTGTGCCCTTGGGGTTTGACATTGGTCTGTGGCCAGAGCCAGAGCTCCGATGGCGTGCTGAGCTAGGGGATAATTATTGCTAAGGTTACAGAGCCAGTAGATGGCCAAAGTCACGGGTCCTCTAAGGCAGGGTTAAGACTGTCTGTGTCAGAGTTTATGGGGTCTCTTGGTGGAAAGGCCAGTGGTCTGAGGTCTGGAACCAACAGAAAGCTCAATGGTGCTCATCTCACTGGTTGGACTTGGGGCGGGGGGTGGGACGGGGGCAGGTGCTGGACCTCTCACCTGGTTGGGGCATCGTCCACTCTTTGCACTCAAACAGGCTGCTGGGCGCCGACAGCTCACCAACCCCTGCCCAGTTTGCTGCGCGGGCACGGAACTCATAGAAGTGGCCTTCACGAAGGTTACTGACCTTGAAGAACAGGGACAGACGGTGAAAACCAGGGCTGGGACCAAAGGGGAAAGAGGTATGGTGGCAGGGGAGACATCAGAGCAGGAAGTCCAGGGGGCCTTAAATGAGATCAGTTATGTGACTCTGCACTTGAGAATTAGCCAGATTATCAGGCTCAGGGAACCTGAGGCCTCTCTTGGCTTTAGGACCTCCAATAGTGACCTCGGGTCTCCACCTGCCCCGGCCAGCGGCCCATTCCAGGCTTACCTTGCAGACCCGGCTGGGGATGGGCTGCTGGTTGACTGGGTGCCAGTCCAGCTCCTCTGAGTCATGCTGGTCCAGGAAGTAGCCCAGGATCTTGCCACCTCCACAACGTTTGGGGGGCTTCCACCCAATGACCATATCATTCTTCCCACAGTTCAGGAGCACAAAATGGTATGGGGCAGATGGCGTGGCTGTGGGGGGGAAGCAGGTGAGGACTGCTGCTTCCTGGGGGTGGCCGGATGGGGCAGGGGGTCCCCAGGGAGCCAATAAGCACCCCCAGTGGATGCCCACCCCTGCTTGGGGTGGGGTTACTCGCTTAGCCAGGGGCATTTGCTGGTAACCTTGACTCTGCTCCCTACAGGACACCTGGGTCCAGAGCTGGTCAGATATTGTCCTATGATCTCAGGCCATTATCCTTTCCTCCCAAAGGAAAGGAGGAGGTCAGGATCTGCTCTAGATCCCCTCAGAAGACGTACAGTCCCTTGGCCTCTGGGGTTACACCCTCCAAGATATGATCTATAAGCCCTTGCTCTCTGCCCAGCCCGGGGCTGCCCCCAAGAGACTTGCAGGCTGCACCTGCCCTTTGGACTTACCCAGAGCCTGCTTGACCCTGATGGGTTCAGTGGCGGGTGAGCTCTCGCCTACCCCAGCCTCGCTGACTGATCTGATGCAAAACTCGTACTCCTTCCCCGTCCTTAGCCCGGGAACTGTAAACCTGGAAGAGACATGGGCAAGCTTTCAGGGAAGGCCAAACAGGTTGCAGACATCCCTGAACTTTCTAGAACAACTTGTGGGATAAGTGGCCCCCAGCAGTGGGATTTGAGGGTTTGGCACTAGCTCTTACCTAAAGATACGGGCCCTTGCCCCCACAGTGGTGCCCGCACCCCAGAGAGTGATGTTCTTAAGATTTGAAAGGCTGGTGGAAGGTGATCAAAAGGTACAAACTTCCAGCTCTAAGAGAAATCAGTACTCGGGGTGTGATACACACCACAGCGACCATAGTTAACCCCACCGTGTGATAGATGAGAAAGCTGTTAGAGAGTAGATCCTAAAAGTCCTCATCACAAGGAGAAATCATCTCTTTCTTAAAAAAAAAAAAAAAAGCATTTTATTTATTAATTTGAAAGAGGGACACTTGGGTGGCTCAGTCGGTTAAGCGTCTGCCTTCGGCTCAGGTCATGATCCCGGGGTCCTGGGAACGAGGCCCGCATTGGGCTCCCTGCTCAGCGGGGAGCCTGCTTCTCCCTCTCCCACTGCTGCTTCCCCTGCTTGTGCACTTGCTCTCTCTGGCATATAAATAAATAAAATCATTTTTAAAAATCTAATTTGAGAGAGAGTGAACAAGAGAAAAAATACAAGTGGGGTGAGGGGCAGAGGGAGAAGCAAACTCCCCACTGAGCAGGGAGCCTGAGGCAGGAATTGATCCCAGGACCCTGGGATCACAACCTGAGCGGAAGGCAGACACTTAACCTACTGAGCCACCTGAAGGCCCCTCTTTCTTTATTTTCTTTTTATTGTATCTATATGAGATGACGGATGTTGACTAAGCCTCTGGTGGTCATTATTTCGTAATATCTGTAAATCAGACCATCATGCTATCCTCCTTGAACTCACACAGTCATGGCCCAGGGAGCCAACCCCAGACCTGTGCCTCCTGGCGCATCTCCAGGACTTTGGGCCTCGTCCCTGACCACGACAGTGGCCCTTATTCTGAGTGCTGTGATTCTAAAGCCTGGCGTCCTTTCCAAGGCCCCCAAGGAGAACTGTCAACCAGAGACCTACATCCAGATACACTCTGGTTTAGAGAAAAATGTCTTCATCCTGTCCCTTCTTGATGAAACCCAAACGGCAGACCCCTTTCTCTCTTTTTCCTTGTCAACAGCGTCCTGCAGCAAATCCGGCCCTACAGGGAGCTTCTCCCAGCCAGGCGTCCCTGACGAGACCCGAGGACTGAAATCAAGTGCTGATGGCTGACAGAGAAACTAGTTCGCTGCTCAGGGACATGCACTCCAATGGGGAACATGCCTCAGTAAGACGGACCAGGCACCAAGGGGACAAGGCTCAGGGAGGACCTGAATGGGTGAGGCCAGGGGTGACTCCCTAGAGACTGGCCCCTGTGGACCTCAGAAGGTGACGATGACAGCAGTGACTGCAGCCATGTGCGCGCATCTAGCCACGGCTCGTCCTGTCATCTATGTAAACTCGGGCCTTCGTCACAACACCCCTGTGTTTGGAGATGAGGATGAAGATGAATGTTGGAATGTTGGGGGGGGGGATCTCGAGGGATCAAACTGTCCCATTTCTTCATTTTACAGGTGGGGAAGGCCTCCCCCAGAAGGAAAGAGGCGAGCCGAGAGCACACAGCCCATTAGGAACAGAGTCGGGACCGCAGCCCAGGCCTCCTGAATCCCAGCACAGAGCCTGCCCTTCTGGTACTCATCCATTCAGACATTCGGATGCTGTCTGAGCACCTCCAGTGAGAGCCCGGTGCTGTGGGGCCGGCCATAGGGCAGGGAACTGGACTCCCACAGCCCCATGGGCCTCCCTTGATGCCTTCACACAGGCAGCACTCCCGGGCGGTGGTGGTTGCCTCTTTCCAGCCATGACACGTGTCTCAAATGGCAGGCACGCACAAGTTCTCTAGACATTCCAGAGGAGCCCGTGCCCCCTCGCCCCACACCATGTGTGATAAGCGTCCCAGACATGCCACTCCCTTCCAGTGACTCCCTCACGGAAGCACACCAAATGCAAGCCGGGGGGAGATGTTCTATTGACAACCTGGTCAAATCCGTCCGAGTCTGTAAAAACTTTGATGATTCTCCCACTTGGGATCTTTAGCAATAACAAGTTGTGAGTGACCCCTCACAGCTGACCATGAGACGCCAACGACTTGTGGGGTTCAAGGTCCTGTCCCTTTTTCTGGGTCAGATGGTCAAGGGGCTCCTGGCCAAGGGGGACCCAGCTGACTGTGCTCAGGGCTCAGCCAGCCGGCTGATGGAAAGGTGGGGAGAGCCCTTGCCACCCAAGCCCTTGACCCTACAGAGCCTCAAAACGTGAGCCCAGAAGCCTCGAGGTTCATTGCCTACAAGGACCAGGGGCTTGTGAGGCGGGAGCTTCAGCGGGGAGGGGAGTGTGGTCCTACCTAGCTGAAAGCGGGGGCTCTACGGCTCCCCCAGGCTTGCCCAGGGGAGGCAAGTGTCAGTGCAAGAGCCCCAGGCAAGGGAGGGGTGCAGGCAGAGCCTGAACCCTGGCCTCCGTGGCCGCATCCTCTGCCTCTCTCTGTCTCTAAGCTCCAGGACGGACGAGACTCAGTCCATCTCCTCTAGAGACAGCATGCCCTCAGCCAGTGTGTGCCGAAGACAAGGTTGTCCTGGCCAAGTCCCAGTGTCTCCATGACTAGCTAAGGGAGTCTGGGCAAGTTACTTAAGTGCTCTATGCCTCCGTCTGAGAAGAACTCAGAACAGTGCCCAGCAGCACACTGGCAGGTGTGGGCAGTCCTTGCGGGAGGGGTGGGGCAAACTCACTTGCGGCCCTGGATGGGCTTGTTGTTCACTGTTTGCCACTCAGATGATCCCGCCTCCCGGGAGTAGATGTAATAACCCAGGAGATCTGGGGCGTCTTTCAAGGGCTCCCAGGTCAGGGATACAGATGTCTGCGTGTCTCGGAATGCTTGAACTTGGGCTGGAGGAGGGAGAGTAGCTAAAAAACAGAAACGTGGGCTGTGTGAGGATGCTGGCCTAACAAACTGGGGAGGGGAGGGGAGTGGGGAAAGGCTGGGAGAACCCCCACAACCCCTGCAATCCAGGGAGCGGGGACGGGGGTGGCAGTCATGACCCGGGAGCCTCGAAGGGGGTGGGGTGCCCTTCCTGGGCCCTGTTAGTCACAAGTCCTCTCCCCTCTCACCTCCAAATATCTCCGCTTCCTCACGAAAGCCTCCATTCATTCATCTTCAGTCTCTGTCCCTTTCCCCTCCCCGGCCACTCTTTTTTGCTTTTTTGGTGTTTTCCCATTTTTGTATAATAATCTTACTTTTCTCATACAAGTAAATGCTTTTTCTTTTTTGTTCCCTTCCCTCCCATTCCCCCCCTCCTTCTTCTCTTCTTTCTTTTACTAACGTGTACTAGAACTTTGCCCTAAAACTCCCTTGTGCTTCAGAGACTATGATCACACATTCAATCATAAAACGCTCAGAGATCAGACCCCGAATCACGGCTAAATGTTAACTGGGCCAGAATCAAAGGAAAACATCACTTGCTCACCAACCCGTTCATATTTGCTATGACTGTATATATGTATATATATATATACACACACACACAAATACACATATAATACATATGTATATACATACACACACACATATATTTCCTATATTATTAGAACAGAGCAAATCTAGGACTTTGCTCTCTCCCCCAGATGGACCCCGAAGCCCACCAGGCTCCCCTGGGCTCGGTAGTGCTGCAGCTGGGCTCCTTAAAGGGCCAGTCTCAGTCGTGACAGCTGCAGGGAACCTTCTGATCTGATCTTATCAAAACTCAAAGTGCCCCAGAATCCGGAGGCCTCAGGAGAGGGAGGGGCCCCGGAGTGGGGACCAGGATGGAGCTGCACCTGGGAGACTCAGAGATGGAGGTGGGAGCCATAACCAGGCCTTGGGAACAACATATTTGGTAGCTGAGGACAGCAAGGTTTGCGGGTGGGCAATGACTTGCCCAGGTCCACACAGTGTGGCTACTGAGAGGCGTCCTGCCTGGGGAGCCAGAGCTTGGGGTGGGACAGCGTTAGAGGGACCCCCTCCTGCTCACACTTGGCTCCTCGCTGGACCAGCCGGATTCTGCAACATGTGAATTGTTGAGCTGGAAAAAAATCCCCGAACTCTCACGAGCTCCCTACTCAGAGAGATGCGATTCCTGGTGTTCTGAAACTTGACAGGCCTGAGATCATGTTGCTTTGCCGTTTCAAGATGGGAAGAAGGGGTCAGGGACAGGGAAATGAGCATGGCTTTGTCCCGGTGGGCGGTGGGGCCCCGGCCCTGGAGGCTGACAGCCTGGCCTGGCCTGGCCTAGCCCCCATCTCCGGCATCGCATCAGTACCTGGCTTCCCCCTCAAGGCGATGGGCTCGCTGGGCTCCGAGGGATCGCTCATGCCATACTGGTTTACGGCTCGCACTTTGAAGACATACGACTTCCCTTTCTCCAGATCCAAAAGGGCGAACCTTGGGGATTTCACAGGAGTGTCTGTAGGGATGGCCTCCCAGGTGCCACTACCTATGACTGACTGTGACAAAGGAGAGAAATGCGCATTGGTGAAGCAGCTGCCTGGGCCGGGGCTCTGTGCTGGGGGCTCTCATTCACTTCTGACCCCCGGCCCTGGCTGCCTCTGAACACCGAGCTCTGGACCCTTCTGCCTCCTCCACATCTCTGCCCGGTGCCTACCGAGCATCTCACATCCGTCATGTCTGGAACTCCACTGTGGATCTTCTCCCCAAATCACCCACATTTGGTTAATGGGACCTATCCTTCCAGTGGCCCAGGCCAAAAAAATCCTTGAAGACATCTTGGACTCCTTCCCTTTGTCCCTCCCACCCCAAATAGGCAAATCCATTTGACCCCACCTTCAGAATTCATCCAGAATCCCACCCTGGCTTACCACCCTGATGCCCTTGCTACAACTTTGATCCAAGCCACCATCATCTTTTACCAGAGCTACACCACTCTTTTCTCCAAATGATGGTCGAAAGGATCCCTTCACAACACAAGTCAGATCACTGTCCCCAGCTGCCCAAAACCACCATCTCCCTTAGAGCCAAAGCATCTCCATGGCCTGACCCCTGCTACCTGTCTGGTCACATTCACTCCCTCTTTGCCCTGTGCCTCCCTGCTATTCCTGATGGCGCCTTGCTTACCCCTTTGCCGGGGATGTTATTCCCTGCAGAAATCTCTGGTGGGCTCCTCCTTTCCTTTAGGTTTTTATTCAAAACTCACCTTCTCAGGGAGAACTCCCAGCCTTTAATCTAAAATGTCAGCCACCCCTTCCCCGCTTTTAGTCTTTTGCCTTTGTGCCTACAGCTAGCTAAGGATTTTCCTGATTTATCTACTTTACCATCAGTCCCCACACCCCTGACTCGAAGCTCAGCTCCATGAGGCAGGGGTTTGCCTGTTTTATCCACTGCCACGTCCCCAGGGCCGGAAAGAGCCCTGGCACATGGGAGGTGCTCAGTCTATGTTTGGGGGACCCATAAATGAGAAAAGGAATGAATTCTCATGATAACTTGAAGGGGGTATTAATTTCCCCACCAGTGAGAAAACTTGTGCTCAAGGAGTTTAAGTCCCTTGGCTGAAAGTCATGGATCTAATAACTGGTGTATTCGGTATTTAAGCCCAGGTGTGGGTGTCCACAAACCTGTTCACTCTCCCCAGCATAAGGGACCCAAAAGGTAGCCACAAATTCTGCATCTCTGGGCAGATAGAGGGTGACGAGCTGAGGGCAGCGCAGGTGCCAGGAAAGACCCAGAAGCACTGGGGGATCTCGCTGACCCCGCCGTGCACCCCATCTCCCTGCCTGCCATGCTTTCCCCTCCCAAGGCCCACCGACCTGCCAGGAGTCCAGAACTCAGCTTGGCCACACACGCACACACACACACACACACAAACCCACAATAAAACCAGCAGACATTGCTGAGCACCTCCTGTGTGCCAGGTTCTCTATTCTAAGTCTGTAGGTGCCTTACTTGGTCCTTGTATTGGCTCTATGAGGTGTGTATGGTTATTATCTCTCTTTTACAGAAGAGGAAACTGAGGCACAGAGAGACTCCATAATTTGCCCAAGGTCACACAGCTAGTAAGTAACAGAAACAAGATTTGAACTCTCCCCCCCACCCACCATGAGTGTGCCAAAGGAGGCCCGTATGAACAACCAGAGGTAGAGATTCCTCCCTGGGACTTTCACTAACCCTGTACTGTCCACCTGCTGTGTGCCAGGCCCTGTGCTGGGTGCGGTGAGTAATGAGAAGCAAACCTCCTCTCTTCCTCTAGGGGGTTAGGGCCAACAATGTGTCCTTGGGACACGTTTTCAGGCCCGGAGCTGCTGGCCTGGCTGCGTGCGGCGTCTTATTTCAACCTCCATTTGCCGCCGGAGGAAACTGAGGCTCAGGGAGCTCAGGAACCTGGCTTGCACAGCAGAAGCCAGGATTTGAGTTGATCTTAACACCACGCTGTTTTTCACCCTGCCAGCTGCCTCAGCTCTGCTGTGAGATCTACCCTGCATGCACAAATGGCCCACACCCCCAGACACCTGCCCCCACCCCATCTGGGTGGGAACTGCCTCCAGGCGCCCCGCCCCCGACCCCCTGCTATGGGAGGGCTGCCCACTGTGACCCTGGCTCATGGGTACCCTCCCAACATGGCCATGGCCAGGAATTCCTGCTGGACCCGATGTGTGGCCCCATGCCAGCCAGACCCGGGGGCGGAGAGATACCCAGGAAATGGTGGATTGTACTGTTGTCACTGTCGTCTGTATGTCCTAATTCTGGGCATTTTCATGAACAGTCCCAGGAGCTGCTGCTAGTCATTGGCCGCACGGGGCTCAGGTCACTTTGGAAGGGGCCCCCATGGTGGGCTATTCTCAGCCCTTCCAGGTACGGATTCTCCTCTAGTCTCTGAAAGCCACCCAGGGACACCGTCTGCCATCTCTCCAGCTGTCCCCCTGCCCATGCCCCCGATGCCTCCCATGACCTGGCGTGTCTGCTTTTCAGCCCAGCCTGGGGCTGGGGCCCGTGGGGTCTCTGTACCTTCTCCAGAGTGTATGTCAGGGGAGCTCTGCCCCGAGGCCTTGGCTCCTCCCAGCTCAGAACCACGTAGGCCTCACGGATCTCACTGGCGTGGACGTTGGTGGGGGGTGAGGGGATGGTCACAAAGTCTGGAATCAGAGTCATTGAGGAGGAGATGGGGTAGGCCCTCAGAGACCCCTCGTTTCATAGAAGAGGAAATGCGCCCAGAGAGGGGCGGGAACTTGCTCCTTGTCATCCAGCAGGGCCAGGCAGAGCCAGGGCCACAAACCACGTCTCCCGATGTCCTCCCCAGGACTTTCCCCAACATGCCGCCTCCTCCACAAGGGGCACGGCAAGACGAGCCGAGGTCACCTAAGGACCCAGCCTCCTCCAGATGGACCTCACCCGCCCTCGCCTCCCCATAGCCCGCACACAGACACCTTCCGCCTCTCCGCCACTTTGTTTCCCCGAGTTTCCAGAAACATAAAGGAAGCTGACTCACAGCTCAAGGCAGAGTGTCAGGAGGTTCACACGTACCTTCAAAATCATCTGTGTTGACTATGATCTTGTTTCCCAGGTCAAAGGAGATCTCTAGGGTGGAGAACGGAACATGTTGGGGGAGAAGCAGAGGGTGCAGGGTGTGCGGGGGTGGGCCCGGGTCAGGGAGGGTCAGGGCAGGACCTGTCCATTCGGGGTGCTGATTCCTCACCCTCTTCCCAGTCCTAGCCTTTGGGCCCGTCATTGTGTGACCTCAGGCAGGTGCTCTCTGAGCCCGCAATTCTCCAGGGTCCAAAGTGGAACACTGCTGTTCTAGACCCTGAGAGATGCCCTGTCTCCTTGCGACAAATGGGGACAGAGAAGTGATGGGCCTGGGGTCGGATACCTAGGGTAAGGCGGAGCTGGGAGGCAAACCCAAGTCAGGGTGACCCCTCAAGGCTGAAAGGGTGGTGCCCGCACCTCCTCCTCCCCCATATCTCTCCCAGCTCAGGGCTCCTGAGGCAGGGCTGTTTTTCTCCTTCAGGGTATCTGAAGAAGGTGCTGTGGTCCCCCCACAGATTAGCATCTCCTGTGGACAGATTTGTGTTTCTTCCGTCAGACTAGTTGTCCCTTCCCCCTCAGGCTAGGGGTTCCTAAGGACGGCACTGTGCTTCCTCCCACAGCCTAGGAGTTCCTGAGACTGTGTCTCCCTCATCAGACTAGCAGTTCCCGAGGGCTGTGCCTTGTCTCCCCCCAGCCCCTTGGAATAAGGCTTGGAATGGGGTATGTGCCACCTGTGTCCTGCATGCGGCGGTCCTCAGAGTGCCCTGATGGATGCTCTAGAATGTTCCTCAGGGCCTCTGCACCCACCTGTCTTTCTCCGGTCTTCATCATGGTCGCGCATGACAACCAGTTCTGATGCCTTGGAGGGGAGGCTGCTGCCTGCTCTGCTGACGGCTCGCACCCGGAACCGATAGCTCTGACCTTCCAGAAGGCCTTGGATGGGGCACCGACAGATCCCGCCGGGGGCCTCGTGCCAGGGCACCCACTGCCCAGACTCGCCCTGGCACCTGTGGGAGAGAGGCCCTGGCTTCAGCCCCTGCCCCCGACTCACACCTGCTGGGTCTGAGCCCCTACCAAGGCCATTCCTTCACCCCAGGCTACCAGTTCGAGTCCTGCTCTCGAAACCTCGTGAATGATAGAACTCGGATTTTACCCAAGGGCTGCCCACTCCCTAACTTGGTGTGCAGTCCAGATGGACCTTCTGAGTTTGGGCTCTCTGTGCCATCCGGGTACCACTGTCCTCAGGCGGTACACTGGCACGCGCTGCCAGCTGGATGGGACAGTGGGCTCGTGGGGTCTGAATCCTGGCTCTACCACTGAAAAGCAATGTGACTTTGGGCAAAGTCATCACCCCATGTGCCTCAGTTTCCTCATCTGTAGAATGGGGCACCACGGAGTCCCCTGCTGCCCTGGAGAGGATCGCAAGGACTCAGTGAGGGTGGGCACTCAGCTTCAGTACCTGCTGTGAGCCCCTTCGGGGCAGGGCCATCTGTCACCTCAGACTAGGGCCAGGACCTGGCAGATTGTGCAGGGGGTGGGATGTTCCGGGCCCTCCCCTCCCCTCCAGGTCAGTGCTGTCCTATCTCTGTCTGTCACTCAGGGAGGAAGGGAGCCAACATACCTACTCAGGCTCACTTCCAAGCACTTCATGTTTGCCCCTCCCAGGGTCCACACGGCTGACTCCAGTGGTGGAATTCCAGGTTTCGGAGGTGACAGATTTGGAGGTACGGATACCTTTCTCTTGCCTCTATATCACATGACCTGGTCTCCTTCCCTCCCGGTTCTGAGGCTAGGCATGGGGCTCCCTCTATCCCATGGCCCCCGCTCTTATTCTCACGAGGTCTCCCCCGGGGGACTCTGACCCTCAAGAGGCTGACTCACAGCTCGATGGAGTAGCTGGTGATGGGGTGGCCCCGGGTGTCGCTGGGTGGGGTCCAAGTCAGGATGAGGCAGTCTCTGTTCACATTCAGGCATCGGACATTCAGAGGGGAACCCGGGGCCCCTGGCTTCTCGGCTGCAGCATCTGAGACCCAGAGTAGGGTGTGGGGGGAGGGGAAGAGGAAGGTTCCTCACTTGGTGTCTCTTTGGCCACGGAGCCTCTCACTCCCTCCCAGCAACCACTTCGGGGGGACCCTCCAGGGCTCACTTGTGATCTTGTGGTCCTCAAGGACCTGAACAATAGCTTCCTCCCTTTTTTTTTTTTTAAGATTTTATTTGTTTATTTGACAGACAGAGATCACAAATAGGCAGAGAGGCAGGCAGAGAGAGAGAGGGGGAAGCAGGCTCCTTGCCGAGCCCTCCTTTTTAACAACAGCATCTGGGAGGCTGTGGGAGTACCAGTCATTAGGGGCCCATTCCACTCTATGCCCCTGAATGATCAGTGTAATGAAACTCTGAGCCCTGCAGCATCCCTCCATTTTGTGGTTGGGAAAACAGAGTCTCAGAGGAAAAGTGACTTGCCCAAGGTCACCAGCTAATGAAGTGGCAAAGTCAGGATTTGAACCTGAATCAGTTTAAAGACCATGAGGCAGAACTTACCAGGTACTGGAATCATCCCAGCCCATGCTCAGCGCTCCCTCCACAGCTCCCACTGGGTCTGAGACTCAAGCTGTATCTTTTTGGAGGGTCATAGAATGCCAAAGGGATTCTTAGAGACTCTCACTCAACACCCCTATTTATAACAGGGAAACTGAGGCCCCAAGAGGGCAGGGAAACTTGCTGAAGGTGCCACAGCCAATCTGGTTGCTGGGCTTCAGCTACACCTTTTACCCTCTAACCCCCCACTCACCTCTCACAAACACGTAAGCGCTCTGCTCCTGGAGCCCCAAGGGGGAAGGCACCTGGACTGTGTAGAGCCCCTCATCCTCCTTATAGGCACAGGACACCTTCAGGGATGCCTGGCGGTCTTCGTAGAGGATCTGCCAGCGTCCTGAGGGTCTCAGTAGTCTCCCTGAGGAGAGGAGGGGTCCAATATGGGCCCTGGCCTCACCTGGGTACCCTTAGATGGTCTGGGTTGAGGCAGCAGTGTGGCTGGTGTATCTGGTGTGGCTGGTGTGGGTGGTGTGGGTGGTGGGGCTATAGCCTGAGGCTTAGCTGGGGAGTTGGGGAGGGGGTGGTGACCTCCAGGGCTCTGCCAATGTGGCCCCGAACTCTCCTCTGCTGAAGGTTTGGGGAGTGGGGCCGGGTCCAGGGAAGGGGACAGTGGCTCAACATGGGAGTGAGCATTTAGAGAAGTGGTCAGAGGCCCAGGGAGGAGTTGGAGTTGCTGTGAGAAAGTGGAAATGAGAGACGGGCCCTTTTGTGAGGGTCAGTATCTCTGCATGGGGGTGGGGGGGGTCACTGTGGGTGTTGGGGGCTCAGTGGGTGGAGGTTGTAAGCTCAGTGAAGGGAGTAGGGGCTTGCTGAAGGCATGGAGGCTCGGGAAAGGGGTTGGGGGCTCACTGAGGGAGTTGGGGCATCCATGCAGAAGGTAGAGGGCTTGTTGAGGGGTGTGGGGATCAGTGAGGAGAGTGGGGACTCAGCAGTGTAACCTTAGTGAGAGGGACGGGGACTCGGTGAAGGGTCCTCCGAGGCTCAGGAAGTGGGTCCTGCCCTGAGGCCACACTGTGGGGCCGTCCTGCTCCGTGTTCCCCTCTCCTGTCAGGACCTCCATTCTGGAAGATCTACAGGTTTGGGAAGACATCTCAGCCTTATCACAACTGTCTCTCAGGGCTTGCTGTGGCTTCCCCACTCTTCTGCCTCCCCCACCTCCCACCCCTCTACCCCCAGCCCCCAGCAGGTGCAGTCTCCCTAGGGGTGCTTGCCGGCCACTGTGCTCCTTGTCCTTTGGCTACAGGCCTGGTCACAGGTGGGGAAGGAGGTTCAGACATCCTTCCCCTCCCTGGCTATCAGTGGGCAATGGCTGTGACTGTGCCTTGGCCTCCCCTTGCCTCCCAGATGGAGAGCAGCGTGGTCCCTCTCTGGCTTCCATCTCTGCCCCTGAAGGCTGAGGACCAGGATGGAGTGGGGGGGGGCGGGGCTCACCATCTTGATGCCACTGGATGTTCTGCTCAGCATCCAACACATCTTCTGAGAATAAGCAGGACAGGGAGAAGGGCTCCTTCTCTCGCGCGAAGACTGGCTTCAGCACTGATGTGAATTCCACGTTGGGGACCAACATCAGTCCTGGGGTGGGAACAGACGTTAGGGCAGCAGTCTTCAGAGGCCACCTAGCCTAGCCTAGCCTGGGACATTCCCACTCCTCTGAGTCAGGATGCATAGTTTCTGGGGTGCTCTTAGCCAGGAGGGAGGGGCCTGGTCCTGGGGGTGGGTGGAGGTGGGGCCGAGATTTATTTAGGTGGGATCAGATGAGCCAGAAGAGCCGCTATCCAAAGGCCATGTCCGTTTGTCTGTTTGGCTTTGCCTTTCTCACTCAGTTTTTGCCCCTGGATAGCTCGGCGGTTGGGGGCCGCTCTGGGGTGCCTGGGGACCCCCAGAAGCCAGTCTGCAAGTGTGAACAGCTCATAGGCAATGACATGCCTCTGTGGGCAATGGTTGGTTAATATTCTGAAGGGGGCTATGGAAGAAGGTATGACAAGGAACCCAGACACCCTCTTCCCCGAAGGCCATCGCTCCCTGAACCTCCTTACTTTTAAAGATCTCCGAATCGAAGCCAGCATCCTTCCCCACGTAAGCTGAAAATCCAAGGCAAATGGAGTTTGAGAAGGTTCAGACCTCACATCCCTATTAGATGAGAGGCATGTGGGTTTCTGTCCTGGTCTATTGGTGGGTCTCCCTCTGGCCGCTGGAAGTTCCTTCACCCCTCTGGGCCTCTCCTTTCTCGGTAACTTGGGGGCAGTGGCTCCTCGCTCCTGATGGCGGGGTTCTGAATAAGTGAGTTCACATGAACAAAGCCCTCAGCCAGAACCAGGCACACAGTTAGTGCTCAATAAATGGTGATTTCCATCCTCTGCCCAGACCCACTGTCAGGATCACACAGTCTGCATAGAGGCCAGCTCTGGTCAGCATGGGATTTCTGGTGGGGGCAGCGACCAGGGGAAGGGCAGCGCTAAGACTAGGGCCATCTGGGGGCTTACGGGTGATATCCAGGGTGATGTTGACAAAGACCACAGAGCCTAATAATAGCTCTCATTCACATGGGACATATTAACTCACATATTATCCTCACAGTGCCTTGTCTGTTGGTGCCATTTCATCCTCTTATACAGATGAAGAAACTGAGGCATAATCCCTCAGCTAGTACCCCAGCAGCCTGAAGCCATGATGAGACTGGTCCCTGGTAAGGCCCTTCCTGAGTGATGCCTGGATGGGGCTGGGAGGCTGCCCAGAGTCACACAAAGTCAGTGAAAGACTCAGGATTAGAACCCAGACCTCCTGCTTCCCAACCCAGGGCCTTTTATCAGTTGTTATGGAGACGAGAGGAGGGGAGGGATGGTAATGACTGTGAGTGGATCCCCTTAGTAGAAGGCTGGCTGGAGTCTGAGGGTGGATCCCAGAGTTGCTGGCCTTGTTGGAGAGAGGGATAGGGGTCTGGAAGAAGGGATGGGAAGGATGGGTGGACAGAGGGAGGCAGGGCCCTGATGCAACTTGACCTTGGTCTTGAATCTAGGCACAGCCTATAAGGGCAGCCCAAATTCCAGAGAGAGCTGGACTGGCGGAGGGGACAGCTGCCTTCCAAGAGCTATTTGGGGAACAGGGCAGATGGGGGGAGAGGACTGTGAAGGACAAGGTCTGATGAGAGGAAGGAAGGGGGCTGGATGCCAGCCTGTCTGCTGACCAGGGAGTGTGTGTGAGTGCGTGCGTGTGTGTGTGTGTGTGTGTGTGTGTGCATGTGTGTGTATGCAACCTCTCTCTCAGGGGCCACGATGACAAGGCAGCAGTCTCCTGGGCCCAGAGGCATGGCCTGCTGGCTATGCTCCGCCCTTCTCATGGTGTGGGGAAGAGAGAATTACGGCTTCCCCAAACCTACTACAGGCCACGCTTTACCTCTACTATCTCATTTAATCCACCTGAGCACCTGAGCGAGATGGGGGGAGACCCCCTTTACAGTCGAGGAAGCTCAGAGAAGTGAAGTGAGGTGCCCCAGGCTCACACAGCCGGTCAGTGGCAGAGCCAGAATGTGGATACGGGTCTGGCTGACTCCCGAGGGTCTCCCCTGCCTTGTGCCATCATCTCAGATGCCCCTGGGGGAACCCCACCAGTCGGGAACTGCTCCATTGGGAAATACGCACCAGAACCCAACTGGGGCAGTGAGGTCCAGAGGGGAGTTGGGAGGGCTCAGCCTTTCCCCCTAAGGACCCCCTCAGGAGGGCTGGCAGGACCAGGCCACCCTCCTGGGGGCTGTAAGCTGGGTCCTGACCCCCAGCCCAGCCCAATGAAATGAACACGGCCTTTGGAGATAGTTGTACAGGTTGTGCAATCTGAGGGACTCTCCTTTGTTCCACAGGCTCCAGGGAAGTGAGTCTCTATGGCTGTCTTGGTCACCCGGTCCCAGACCCAACACAATAGCCCTGCATCAAGGGGCCTCCCAGGCCCAATACCCCTGCATCAAGGGGCCATCCTCAAGTCTAAGCGCAGATTCACGTCCTCCTCTGCTCACCCTGGGTGTGCTGTGGGCTGGCCTGGCTGGTGGGAATGGGAGTGCTTACTTCGGACAAGGACTTTGGCGAAGGAGGAGGCCTGGCCATAGGCATTCTTCACCTTCACAGTGTATGTGGCTGCGTCCTCCACGGTGCATCTGAAAAGGAGAGAGGAAGGGCCCCCCAAGACTGCTGGGCTCCATGGGAAACTCAAGTCCCCACGTGTGGGTGGGAGAGGCAGGCATTCACATGAAGACTTGGCAGGAGTGTGGGGGGGGTAACTTTAGGCTTTGGTTCAGGCCCCAGCTCTGAAAAGCTGTGTGCCTTTGGACTGGCCACTGCCCTTTGCTGGGCCTCAATGTCCTTCTCTGAAGAACTAGGGATATAACACCAGCCTAACCCAACTCAGGTGAAAGAACTGTGAAAATATGATCGTCATTCCTGAGTTGGTAGGATCAGACAGGTCAAGTTACTTGCCCACAGTCACACAGCACCCAGAATTCAACCCAGCTTCAAGGTGACAAGTTCTGTCCCAGGCATAGACTCCTGCCCTGTCAACACCTCCAAATCAGAATCCTGGAGCAGAAGCGGGGCACGGACTTGGAGCAGGAGCGGGGCACGCCTGCCAGTCTGTGCCAGAACTGGGCCAGATGCCCAGGTGTTCTCAGTCTCAGTCCTTGGTCTCATCACTAGTCAGGCCAACCCCATCTCATTCCCAGAGCTTGTGCCGGGTCCATCCCAGGGCTACACTGGGGACAAAAGAGTCACTGGGTTGTGGCCATCTGGCCCCATCAGCAAGCAGAGAGGCTCCTTGGTATCCCCGCTCTTACCCTGACTGCTCGGGGTGGGAATCTGTCTTGCTTCAAGGACTGGGCCCACCTGCCTCTCTAGGCAACCTTGACCCTGCATGCCTTCCCTGATTGCCCAGCCCACGGTCCCCACCCTCTGTGGTCTCCTGTGGTCAGATACTTATGTCCATGTCTCCCCACTTTGCTTCTGGAGGGTAGGATCGATGTCCTGTCCAGATTTGTGGCTCTGAAGCACAAGTTGGTTCAGATGGAGGGATTGGTGTATTGGAAGGAACCCAGCTGGGGGGAACGGCCACAAACTCAGGTTCTGCCCTATACAAGCCATGCAGGACCCTATATCTTTTGGAGCCTGGGTGTCCTTTACTGCACCACGGACAAGACTTCCCTGTGGGAATGGTGATGAGCAGAATTAATTGTATGTCTGTGTGTGTGTGTGTGTGTGTGTGTGCGTTTCCCCTCACACAGGGCTTAGCACCTGCAGGAAGTCAGCACGTGGTAGCTCATGGGAGCCCTAATGTGTGCTTTGGGGGGCACTGTGCTCACAGCCCCTGGTGCCCGCACTCCATGCGTGCTGCTTCTGCCTTCATTTTTTTTTTTTTAAAGTAGGCTCTGTACCAATATGGGGCTTGAACTCACGACCCTGAGATTAAGATCTGAGCCAATATCGAGAGTCAGATGCTCAACTGCCTGAGCCACCCAGGAGCCCCACTCCTTCTCCCTTCAAAACCATGTTTAAGACTCACTATCTCCTGAAAGGCCCATCCAGCTCTCTCCCCTCCAACCGCCTCTCCTTGCTCCTGTGCCTGTGTGTGCGTGTGTGTGTGTATGTGTGTGTGTGTGTGTGTATTTTCTCTCCCCAGCAGGGAGCACTCTCAGCATTCCCAGCTCAGCATTCAGTCCATCCAGCTGGCCTCTGGCTCCAAATTTCTTCTCGTGTATTCCAGGGCATTGGAATGACATAAGAATATCTGTTAAATACTGATTTCCAGTCCCCATTCCAGAATAAGACCCACTTAATCTGACTCTCTGGAGGCAAGAGGAGGCCCCATGTCATGAATCAGTGTTTTAATGAGCACCCCAGATTCTTCTGAACACGAGGCTGACTCAGTTAATAAGGATTTGAGGTCCTGCTCTGGCTTTGGGTGGGGTGGTTGGGGCTTGGAGGTCATGGGTCTCTCTAGGGGTGACAGTCTCACCTTCTAATCTCCAGCGTCAGGAGCCCATAGTTGTTGGTGATTCGGTACTTCCCGGCGGGAAAGAGGCGGGGATCGATTCTCATGTCATTTTTGTACCTGTGGGGATACAAAGGTCTGTGGCAGGCAGTGTGGCTCTGAGGGGGAAGGACCCGGAGGCTCTCAGGCCTGGATTCCAACCTCAGCTTTGTGCTGTTTACTTGTCTATGGGACGAGAGGCAGCACCTTCTCTGCTCTGAACCTCAGTTGTCCTCATCTGTGAGATGGGAGTAATAAGAGCACTAACTTCATAAGGTTGCTGGGAAAATCAAATGCAGCAAGGTATGTAAAGCTTTCTCTAGTGCCCTGAGCACTGGCCACACTCCGGGGTTCATTCTCCTTCTGGGAAGGGTGGGGGGACAGAGAAGATGGAGCCTATAATTAGTGGCAGCTGCCCTCTGAGGGGGTTGCCACAGAAGGTGCCCCATTCTTCCTCCCTTGTCAGCCTCTCAGGAGGACGATTCTTTATCTTGGCTCTCATTAGGGTGCTTTGAAACAGCTTGCCGGGGTTCTGAACAGAAGCCTTTGGAAATTTGTATAAGAAGCTGTTCATTGGTCTCCAGTGGCCATTCTCTCTTCCTTCCTTCCTTCCTTCCTTCCTTCCCTCCTTCCTTCCTTCCTTCCTTCCTTCCTTCCTTCCTTTATTTCTTTTTCTTTCTTTCTTTCTCAAGTTGGCTCCATGCTGGGTGTGGAGCCCAACACAGGGCTTGAACTCACGACCCTGAGATCAAGACCTGAGCTAAGATCAGGAGTCCAGGAGGCAAAACCACCTGAGCCACCCACGTGCCCCTCCCTCTTACTCTAAAGGAACAGGATTCATCACTGAGCCACCCAGTGTGACAACAACTTGCTGCCCTCTTTTTCTTTTTTTAAAGATTTTTTTTTTTTAATTTATTTAACAGAGAGAGATCACAAGTAGGCAGAGAGGCAGGCAGCAAGAGAGTGGGGGAAGCAGGCTCCTCACTGAGCAGAGAGCCCAATGCAGGGCTCGATCCCCAGACCCCTAGATCATGACCTGAGCCGAAGGCAGAGGCTTAACCCACTGAGCCACCCTGGCGCCCTCCTGCCCTCTTTCTAATAGATGTGGCCATGTGACTAAAACTTGTCAACACAAAGTAAGCACAAGTGCCATGTGGCCGCTACTGATGACCCTTTGCCCCCTTCTATGTCATAGTTCCCTCCATGTGACGGCAAGAATGTGGCCCAGACGGTGGCCATCTTGCACAAGGAAGCCCAGGGCTGTGCCCTCCAGCAGTGAGGGGAGCAGAGTCTGTGAGCAGAGTCACACAGCTGCCCCAACCTGTCCAACTCAGGCGCGCAGACAAAAGAAAAATAAACTCCTGTCTTATTAAAGCCATTAAGAAAATCTCCGTGCCCAGCCTGCATCCCAGATCATTCTGGAGTCAGAATTTCTGGGGATGGGGCTCTGTCCACAGCCCCTTGTTGGGGTTTGAGGCCTAAGGAGTCACGGCTGGTGAGTGAAAGTCTGTGAAGCCTGGGAGGCCCTGGTTCTTGACCCAGCTGGCTGTGTGACCTTGCCCAAGTCAGTCCCCCTCTCTGGGCCTCTGTGTCTGTGAGGCTGTTGCAGGGACAGTCAGCCCCAGTGGTGTTTGAGGTCGAAGGGAGGCCGCAGCCGAGAGAGGGCGCCCTGGGCTCAGCGCATCACCTTCCTGGGACTCGGCTCCCCCCGACACCCTGTTTGTGTCCATGGCAACCAAACAGTGCCACACCCACACCCCATCACCACCCCCCTTCCAGGCTGCACCCTCTTCTGAAAGAAGCCCAACTAAGTCTTCTTTGGGGAGGGCAGTGCCTTATCTTGACAACCAATCTTTCTACCTCTCCTAGGCCTGGGGGCCAAAGTCAGTTCCCCCTACCCCCACTTATCAGGAACATTCCAGACACCTCGGCCTGGCCAGCTTCCAACTTTCAAAGGAAAAAGCAGCAGCTGCAGCTCTGGGCAAGGCCTGGACAGCCAGAGACCTCGGTGTTTATCTTGCCTCTCGCTGGGGCCCTGTCTCCCACCTCAAGGCAGCCCCTCGAAGACACAGGCTGTGCTGCTGACCCTACGGGACAGCCAGCCATAAAACAGTGCCCAGATGACAGAGGCAAGGCGTCAGGCCCACAGCCTGGTTCAGAGAGGCCCTCATAACACAGTGAGGTTTTTATTATTTATTTCAATGTTTTTTTCTTCACAGATTTCCGTATTGGGTTTTACTTTTGAAGGCTGCTGGGCCTGGGAGACTGATTCCGATATCATCTAGAATCATGGCCAGGGCCCACCTCTACCACCTTAATGTGGCCAGACTGGGCCTTGCCTGACTTGTCCTGTTGTTGTCCCTGCATTCAGGAAGTGCTCAATAATTGCTGAATGAATGTACTCGCCTGACGAGCCTGGGTGCGCCGGGATCTTCCTTTTGACCTGGGGGAGGGTGTCTGCCAGGAGCTGGACAGAGCATGGGGGCCAATGCCAGGACAGTGCATGGCCCTGCCCAAACCGACCGGCCGACAGTGGAAAACTGGATCCCCAAAACCAGGAGCACCGGGGGCCACCTGTGTTGCTCCTGCTGGAGGGGTGCCTGGCCTTGCTTCCACCACTTACCACACTCAGCTCCCTGCTGTGGCAACACTGCTGGCAGGGAGGACGGGAGTCTCTTCTCTGAGAGGCTCCTCCGGAATGCCTTAGATGTGGGCCTCAGTGCCAGAGCAGGGCAGGGCAGGGCGGGGCCACCGGGCAGGACAGCTGAGGCACTGACCCCCTCCTCAACCCAGGCCAGCTGGCAGGAGTAGCCCTCCTACCTGGCCAGCCGCTTGCAGCCAGGGACTGCCTTGGTCCCCATAGAAATACAGTGCCCAGCATGAATTCCAGCTCCCCGCACCCTTTTGTGAGTGCGTGTCATCTGGCAATGACCAGCCCCGAAGCCCGCTTCCTCGATGCCTCTCCTGATTGCTCCTGGCCTAAGTGCTTTCTCTGTCTCTGACTTCTGAAGCATTACATGTGCCTCAAGGAGGAACAGCAAACCCAATTTTCACTTTCGAACTCTCTAGGCTGGTAGCAACACCGATGGTTGGGAGGCAAGAGACCCAAGTTTGAATTCGGACTCAAACTGGCTATGTGACCTTAGACAAGTCACACTACCTCTCTGACCCATGGGTGGCCCCAGGGCTCAAAGGAGAAGAAAGTGGTGGGTCAGTAAATGTGGGTTCAAGGACACAATGTTGCTTTTTCCTTCATGATCTCTATTGTTTGTGTGCTTATCCTCTCTCTCCTACTAGACCACAGCCTTATTCACTCTCAAGATCTGGCTTATGTGTCACCTCCTCTGAGAAGCCTTCCTGGATCCTCCAGGGGGAGGCAGCCACCTCACTGTCTTCATCTTCACTCTTGTATTCCCAACTGCACCCATGAATGTACTTCTCTGTATGATGACATTTCTTTTTGGGGCTGAGCGTTCTTTGAGGGGAGGTTGTGTCTGGTTCATTTCTATGCCTCAGTGCCTGAGTCTGGGCCTGGGGCCGATCGTTCTCCTGGTAGCTATTTGTTGAAATCCTCTCCTTATCCCCCAGTATGCCTGACCCCGGATCTAAGACCCAGAGGGAGCCCCCTAAACAGTGGGAGACACTGGCCGCCTCCCTTCCCCTCCCGTCCCCTTGGTCAGCTTCTGCTGTGGTTACACTCCCGGGAATGGTGTCTTCTACTTTCCCAGCCCCTCTTAAGCTCTGAGGCTTCCCCATAAGTGTGGCATTAAATCCTCACCACATGCAGGCTGGGCAGGAGGCCTTCAACCCATTTTACAGAACAGGAGAAAGGAACAGGACCGGAGAGGTTGAGATGTGGCTGGAGCCGCACCCTGCGTTTGTAGAGAGAGCAAGGTCTGGACACAGGGCTCTCACTCCAGGTCTGAGTTCCTCGCTGGGGGGTTGGGGGTGGGGCTGCCCTCCCCGCCTCCCGTTCTGCTCCTCTGCCCCCTGCCTGCCTCCCGCCATCATCTTCCAAGCCTGGAGATGCCCAGCTCAGAGCAGCTGCCTTCTGCCACCAGAGTCATATTTTTACAAGGGCTGGCTCCCCAGTGGCCGCGTCTTCCTGCCCCAGGCTGGCCTGGAGGAGGCTAAGAATAACCCATCCTGAGCCTTGGAGCAGCTGCTGTTCTCTGGGGGGGAAGAAGGGGGGGGGGGCGGGCCAAGCTCAGGGTCTGTGGGGCTGCAGCTTTCCTAAGGCAGCAAGAACTTCGGGGGGAGGAAGTGGGCTCCTGGAAGGAGGTGCTGGGATGTAAAGTACACTCAGTTAACCCTGCAAGCTCAGAGCCTGTGGGCAAGTGAGGACCCCCTTCTCTCCTGCCGCGGTGGCTTACCAGGTGACCTGGGGTGGAGGCGAAGCCTGGACAGTACAGGTCAGCAGGACCGTGGTGTGCTCCCAGACGGCGTGGGAGCGCAGAGGGATCCAGAACCAGGGCCCCCGGCCGGAACACAGCTCCCTCAGCTCCTTGGCCTCCCGGACCTTCTCCTCTGTCTGGAGGTGGGAGGGGATCTGTGAGTCCCATGAGCCAGGGGATCACATCTCCCCATCTTTGCAGTCACTGTTCCCCCCGAACACTTAGGCTCTGGGAGTGTCAGCTGAGCGGCAAGGTGGCACAGAGGGCAGGGCATGGGCTTTGGAATAACTGGCTTGGGGTCAAGGCCAGATTCTGCCACTTCCCGCCTGTGAGACCATAGGCAAGTCCTCAGTTTCCTTATCTGTAAAATAGGCGTGATAATAATATTCCCCACTTTCCTGTGGGGTTGTAGTGAGGATTAAGGGAGTTAGTATGTGAAAAATCACGGGCAATGAGAAAGCCCATGTGAGTGTTAGCTATGCTCTCCTGCCCCGGGAGGGGGCACCGAGGCTGGCTTCAGATCCCTGATGTTTGTCAGGAATAGTATTTCCAGAGGTTCTTCTGGGAAGGTCACTTTACAAGCCCAGTCTGGTTTAAAATCCCCACCTCATCCCTGAGAGTGTAGACACCACACACATCTGTTTTATAGGTGAGAAAACTGAGGCTCAGGAAGGGTCAGCTGCTTGCCCCAGGTCACACAGCAGGAGGGCAGGGACGCCAGCCTTCAGACCCAGTCCCAGACCAGGGCCTAGACTCTTTCCGGGATGTCCAGCTGCCCCTTGGGAGGAGGGCAGGTGAGGTGGGTGGCCCGTGATGGGTCGCAGGTCCCCAGACCCCCTCACCCGCTTCCTCAGCGCCTTCCGGTCGCGTCTCTGGCGCAGCAGCCACTGGGTCTGCAGGAAGGCGATCTCCGTCCTCTCCCAGTCGTTGCCAAAGCCCACTCGCTTCTGTCCCCGCTCCTCCAGCTCCACGGCGGAGGTCTGGCGCCTCAGCTGGGACTCCCTGCGTAGCAGAGGCCGGCAGCGGCCGAGGGCCCAGGGCTCGTGGGGACACCCTGGCCAGGGCCACCCGGCCTCCCCACGCCAGCCTTGCCAGCTGCACTTTAAGGTTGTTGAGGACAAGAGCAGCTTTTAATCCTCTCTTGCTTCCAAAATACCTGAATGCCCTGTTTTCAGTAGGTGCATAATAAGTACTATGGCTATAGTTCCCAAGGCCCTTTCACAAATCTTTGTTCCTCTTGTCTTCACGACGACCAAGTGGACAGGAGTAGTCCCCCTATTTTATAGGGCAGGGACTTGCTTCAAGCTGCTAGGACCAGGAATTGGGCCTTCTAACCCAGGACTCGGCTTCCCGATGCTCTCTGGCAAAGCCCCATGGTGAAGTGTGGCTCCCACCCTCTCCCACAGGGATGGGCATCACTACTGCCTGGGGACCCACCCAGAGAGTGGTCTGGGCCCCTGTGCTAGATATAACTCTGGGCAGAATCTATAAGTCCAATGTGGGAGCCTAGTAGAGGCAGGGGACTGGCCCTTTCTCAGCCCAGCGCTGTCTGAAAAGGTCACCTGACTTACCGAGATATCTCTGAGGAGGCTGTCAGTGCCAGGGCGGCTGCAAGGGCGTAGTCTGCGGCGCTGAACTGATACTCTTCCTCACTACCCGGGGAAAAGGGAGTTAAGGGCTGGTATAGGATTGCCTGGAGATCTGGCCTCAGTGTTCCTGAGTTTAAGGCAGCATCTACCTAACCTGTCTCAGGACACTAGCGAGCACAGCTGTGCCTCCCCCCTCAGACTGGGACCTCCACAAAGCAGGGCTATGCCTCCCCCCTCAGGCTGGGATCTCCACAAAGCAGGGCTGTGCCTCCTCCCTCAGGCTGGGATCTCCACAAAGCAGGGCTGTGCCTCTCCCCTCAGACTGGGATCTCCACAAAGCAAAGCTGTGCTTCTCACCTCAGACTGGATTCTCCAGAAAGAAGGGTCTCCAGACGACAGTGTTGAACCTTACCTCAGACTGGCTTATCCCGAAAGCAGGCTATGCCTCCCCACTCAGACTGGGGACCCTTCGGGGTGGGACAGTGGCCTGGGTGGGGTCCCTGATGATCCCACCTGCTGCGGAAGGTCCTCCTCCGCACTGAGGAACCCATGTGCAGGCTGTGCTGCCGCTCCTCCTTGTGCTCCTCCTCCTGGCGGTGTTCCAGCCGGTGGACCTCCACGGCCTGGGGGGGCCGGGGCTCCCCCACATTTCCAGGGCTGTGGGGCAGAGTCATGGCTGCGAGAGCAACAACCTGCCAAGTGGGGCGCACGGTCATTCTACCAGGCACCTGCCCATCCCTTCCCCACATGGTCCCGGGCATCCCTGGGAAGTTTGGGGGGTGGGAGTTCTCGCTCCAGGGGGCAGACAGCAGGGAGGCCAGGGAGGGGGCAGGGACTTGGCCAACAGGACAGAGACAGGCTTCGCACTCTGAGCCTGGCTAGTGCATCAGTCCTTGCACTCTGCGGCTGCGTGAGCAACAGCTCTGCCCTCCCCTGCCTGTGACCTGGGCAAAGCCTTCCCTTTTGTGGGCCTCCACTGATGAGTGATCCAACACTGTGGTGTCCGAGGGCTGCTCTGTGACTCAAGATGGGCAGATGTCCTCACTCCTCCTGCACACGCCCACCCAGCCCTACCTCCGAGCCTTTGCCTGCACTGGTTGCTGCTCTGGGGGGAACCTTTCCCCCTTCTGGCCTGCTGAGCCCCACTCAGGCTTTACAGCCCAAGCCAAGAGAGCATACTTCCGTTGGTGCAAGGGTCAGAGGTGGGGACTCTGGGCGTGGTCCCACTTCTCATTCCAGCTACAGGTGTGTGCCCTTGGGCAAGACTCTGTGACTTAGTTTCCTCATCTGTGAAATGGGTCTACTGACTTTCCAGGATGGTGGTCAAGGTTGGAAGAGTGCTAGGAGCAAAGCAAGTGCCATGGAAGCATTAGATATTAGCATGATTTTTCGGAGTAACCCTGCCGAAAAACTACCCACCACCTAGAATTTTTCTCTCCTTTAATCCTTTTTATGCTTTTTCTGTCTGCACTCCGCAGTCTAGCTCTGATTCAGAAAACACCTCCCCTTATGAAATTATTTCGTATTTGTACATCGTCACTCTCCAACAAGACTATAAGTAAGTTAAAAGTAACAACAGTGAGTGTTTTCAGTGTGCTGGCCCCATTATCTTCCCGTCTTACTGATGAGGAGGGAACATGCTTGTCCAAGTTTACCCAGCTGCTTGAGGCTGGGACTATGAGCGGCACCTGACTCTGAGCTCTCTTGACATCTATGACACATGTCTACTTGAGACCGGGCCTTGACTGTGGCTGGGCACACAGTAGGCCACAGGGCCGTTCTTCTCATAAGGGCATCATGATGGAGGGCTCCCCCTTTATATTCCTGAGGCTCAGGTCTGGGCCACAGGTGGTACCCAGTCAGGGCTGGGTTCAGTGAGTGTGGAGGGAGCCTCAGGGATCAGGGAGTGACTCCATGGGTGTGGAGAGGCAGGCAGAGAGAGTGGGAGGCCCAGGAACAAGCTGTTTTGGGTTCTTGCACAAAGTTCTTGCCCCAGTCTGGGCCGTGGTGTCACAGCTGGTCTCCGAGGGTCCCTCTGATGCTGAGGCTTTAGGATTCGGACCATAGTCCTTGGAGTGACTTCCATATCTCCTTCAGGTGGGAGTTATGGACCCCCGGGAGGGTCCTTGCTGGGCTTAGACCTGATACTGTCCTTGGCCCCAGTCTCCCTGAAGGTCCTCCTGGCAGTGGTGGAATGTGTGTGTGTGTGTGTGTGTGTGTGTGTGTGTGTGTGTATGTACTGCTTCTCTAAGTCTATAGCATGGGAGATGGGCCTGCTGGCCTCATTAGAGCACCATGGCCCTGTGGGCCTGTCGTGGGGTGTCAGGGGGGACAATCTCTATGGGCATTTACCCTTTCTAGTTCCCAAAAGTGTGCTCCCTTTTAGTATCTGGATTACTGCAGTGTTAGCCAGAACCAAAGCCTGCCCCAAGCCTCCTTGGTCTCCTGCAGATGACCTGAGCTGAATGTAAGAGGACTGTCGCCACTTGGGCTTCCCATGTGGCCCCCTCACCCTGAGGAACAGGCTCTGCTCGCTCCCAGAGAATGACTGACCCAGGCTCATTCTGTGCCTCCTTCCTCACAGCCCGGGGAACTGGCCTCGATGGGGAGGCCCCCTCCCCCCACCTTTCCTGGGACACCATGGCCCTGGCTCCAGCAGCTGAGGAACGTTCGCTGGCATCAGCTGCTGGCTCCCTTCCCCGGATGCTCTGTTCCTGATTAGCACCGTGGCAGGGGGGCGGTGACTGGCACCCATCCCTGACCTCCTGGGCCTCCCGCAGCCAGACCCCCCCCCCCACCCCCAGCCTTAGCAGATGAGCCATCAATTATTTTTAAAGCACTGACTGCTTGGGATCAAACAGCAGTGGGAGTGAAGCAGCATGTGCTCCTGGCGGGGAGGGGTCGGCGGGGTGTGGACCGCAGGGAAGCAGCCCCCTGCCCTCTCCCAGGGGTACAAGGCCTGGGTCACAGGTCCCGCGGCATGGCTTCCCCTTTTCTCCAAAGCCGCGGTCTGCTTTCCCACCAGGCCCTCTCACGGGCACGCCCAGAGACCAGGGGCAAGGAGGCTGAGCCCCTTCCTCAGGAGGGAAAGGGCAGGGCACAGCGGCTGAGGGACTGGCAGAGCCCGAGGGCAGAAAGCTGGGTCCCAGGGGCCGGCTGTGCTCTGTCAGCTTCTGAGTCCAGAATTCTGACCCTGTCGTGGAGTGGCCGAGGCCACCCCTTCCCTCTCTGGGCCTCGGTTTCCTGCCAGTGAGCCTGGGCTGGACGCGTGCCCTCCTGGCCCTGAGAGTCAGGCCTGGAGGGCTTCCTCCCTTTCCCCGCCTGCCTGGTGGGCCAAGCAGGCCTCCGGAGGCCAGGAGTCCGTTAGCTCTGCCGGGCCTGCCAGCTCACCCTGGGCCCGTCCACTCTGCGGGCATTCCCGATCGTCTCTCCAGCAGCTGTCACATCACAGAGGGCTCAGCAGAGACGACGGAGGGCCACACGGAACAGTGAGGGGACGAGGGTCGCCACAGTCCCCTCCGATTGTCACTCGGGGGTGCTACCTAAGCACGCGTGTACTTTTTCTTCCCAAATCCCTCAGGCTCCTTTCCCAACACACACACACACACACACACACACACACACACACACCCCACTTCCTAATGGAAAACTGAGGGGCTCACTTTCTGAAGGTTTCCCTGCCCACCCCTGATCCCTGGAGGGGACTCACAGAGGCAGCTGCGCCCGCTCAGGCGTCTCTGGGGAGACGATTCCAGAGGATGAGCCGGACCTTGGTTTCTTCTTGCCCTGGGTTCAGCAGGGACGGGGAGAAGAATGTGATCCTGGAGCCTGCGTGGACCTTAAATATAGCAGCGCTGAGACAGTTGATGACAATGGATGGGAACTATTGCGGGGGGGTGCAGAGAGGAGGGGCTGTCCCTCCAGGCCAGCCCTGCTCAGGCGGCAGCAACAGGTGGAGCCCTCCCCACCCCCACCCCAGCCTCCGCACAGGGCTCCTTCCCTCAGCGGGATTCCTTCTGCCCAATTCTAGAGCCCACCCTCCCACCTCCAGCCCCAACTGAAGTAGAGGGAAGGTAAGAGCTCAGGCCTGGTTGGAGGGAAGGCAGCTACGGGGTGGTCTTCCCTGCTGCCGGGGTTTTGATTGGCTCCTTGGGGCAGACACCCAGCGTCTCTAATCTAACCCCACCATGAGCAGTGGAACTCTTCGTGAAGACAGTGGAAAGAATGTGACCTAAAACCAGTGTTTAGTGCTGGTACCATATCACTGGTCAAAATGGAAGCAGCTTGCTTCTCACGCCAGGCCCTGTGTTGCGTGGGCTGTGGCCCGGGCAGGGGCCTCTTCCTTCACGGGCGGCATTTCTCGGGGTTCCCGAGTGGCCACTCTGTCTTCCCAGCCTTTGCCACAGCCCCTCCTGAATCTCAGTTCTTTCCCCCCACGTTCGTTCACACCCACCCTTTGCAGGCAGAGGGGAGTAACACCCATGGTGTGGAGGAAGCTTTCATTTAGGTGGGGAGACAGGCAGGAATGGAGGCGGGAGGTGATCAGCAAGGTACCCCTGAGCCAGGTCTTGGGGATTGACCAGGTTTGAGGAAGGGGGTGTCAGCTCTGGTCCAGAGAGCACAGCTCCCCTCCCTGGCCTCCTCCTGGGGCCGGAAACACCATCGATCTTTCTAGTGTCTCAGGGACAGCTCTCCAGAACCGGGGGCTGGGGGTGGTGGGAGGAGGGAGAGGGAGAAAGCGAGAGAATGCAAGTGAGCTCTTCGGCTAAAATCTTAATCGCCTGCCCTAATTGAAACCCTCTTTCTAAACTCTCCTGCTTCTCCCCTTCCTCCCTGGGGGCAGTGTTTAAGGCCTCTTCTGGGGAGAACAGTTGGTGTCTGTCTTCCTTCTTGTATGGAGCTGACCTCAAAAGGACTTTCCAAGACCCACGTGTATTCACTCTCCGTGAGGTGTGAGTGTGAATCTGTACATACAGCAGGGCGGTGTGGGCTTCCAAAGCAGCAGGAGACGGACATTTAAACTGGTCCCGTGACTGCCTTCCCCCCAAGGCAGCCTGGTGGAGGGGCCAGAGCTACTGGCCGTAGGACCTTGGGTGAGTCACTTCAACCTCTCTGCCCCTGTTATCTGTACAGTGGGCTCCACGATGCTGGTCTTCCAGGGAGATTGAGAAGATTGGGTTAGGGCACGTGATTACCCGGCTCCCTGGAGACACTGGCTAGATGAGAACGCCACTGATGATTCCACAGCTCTAGAAATGCTGATAGCCTACCCTCCTTCTGTGTGTGGGATTCCCATTCAGCCCAGTGACGCCCTCCTTCCTCACTGGGGCAGTGCTTGGGGGAGGCCCAGAAGTGTCTTAAGGAGCACACAGCCAACCCCGCAGGTCACAGGGTTGAGCAGAGGTGAGACTTGGAATTCTACAAACCTCGGTTGAAATCCCAGCCTCTGGCCCCTGCGCTCACTAATGGAGGGACCCTGACCTCCTCTCTGGGCTAACTTAGTTTCTTTGTTGGTGAGTTAGAGGTAAGTTCTAAAACACAGGAAGCTCGCCTGCCTGTCTTGTCCACTGCATCCCTAGCCCCGAGAACAGCGCCCGCCCTACAACTAGTCCCTTCATATATGCTTGCTGAAGAATGAATGAATGAATGAATACCTATCTTGCAGAATGGTAGTGAGATTCAAATGAGGTTAAGATGCATAAATTGCAGGGTACAGTAGCTGGCTCCTCGTGGTAGTACCCCTCAATATCTCCTTCTTTCTCCCCTTTCCTTCTCTTCTTCTCCCTTTTATTGCCTTCCCTGGAAGTATGAGCATTAAGGACAGTTGTTCAAATTCACGTACCCAACATCTTGACCTTCCACGCCACTATTTCAGACACCAGCCTTCCTTTCCCCCTGCTTCTCTCCCCTCCCTCCTTCTGTCCCTCTCCCCACTCAGTTAATTCTGCACTTTCTGGAACGTCGGCTGGGAACAGCCACAGGGGACCAGACTTGGCGGTGACACATGGTCATGGCCTCCTTGTTCAGGCTGATGCTCGGACCTGGGAGGGGCACAGAGAGACTCAGCCTCTGGGACCCGGGAGGAGCTCTAGTCTCATGGGCCCTATCTTCTGAGGGGGAACTCGGGCAACCCCTGTATGTGCCCGGGGCCAGGGGTGTGGGAGGGCAGAGGTCTGCAGACTTCACGGGTGGAAATACCCACCGAGTAACCTTGCCCCATACCCCCATCCAGGGGCTGGAATAAGGGCAACTCCTGGGAGGTGATTTGAAGCAATCCACAAGGAAACTGTTGGTATGAGGACCTTGTTCCCTCCACTTGCTTGAGAGGCATCACCAAAGGTGTTTATTAGAAATACGGATTCCCCAGGAGCCATTGATTTAGCGGGTCTGGGTGGGGCTGGGGAAGCTGCGTTTTTCATATGTTCCCAGGGGATTCTCACAATGCGGCAAGTTTAGGACACCAATGTGGGCAAGTAACCTCTCTAAGCCACATTTTCCCTCGCAAAAAATCAATAATGCAAAGTTCCATGGCAGTTTACAGGGAGGATGAGTGAACCCCTAAGCGACAGGGCTAAGTTCTTCCTTCTTTTTTTTAAGATTTTATTTATTTATTTGACAGAGATCACAAGTAGGTAGAGAGGCAGGCAGAGAGAAAGGGGGAGAAGCAGACTCCCTGCTGAGCAGAGAGCCTGATGCGAGGCTTGATCCCAGGACCCTGGGATCATGACTTGAGCCGAAGGCAGAGGCTTAACCCACTGAGCCACCCAGGCTCCCTGAGTTCCTCCTTCTTGCTTGCAGTCCTGCTAGCAGCCGCCACATCTGTTTACTCCTGCGAAGACTCCCTCGGCAGGGCTAGGTGCGGCAAGGCTATGCAGATTCCTGGTAATGGGGTCAGACCCTAGGATACTTGGGGATGCCCGCCTCTGCCCAGAGGGGCTTCAGGCCCTTTGCCTTCTGGCTGTTTCCAGCCCTATCTGCCAGCCTGGGCTGCCTGCTTGGGAGGCTCACAGGGCTCAGAGCCATTCCTCTCTCCCCTTAGGCACTCAGACTCCACTCTCAGAAAGTCATGGAGTAGCTGGGACAGCTGTCACCCAGAGGAGCTTAGAGAGCTTCTCAGCCCTTTTATGGCCTTAAAAATAGATCTCTGTGACTCCCTGTCCCACTTACCTGGTGAGAACAGTCTGGCTGTTAAGTTGTTTCTCATTATTGAAGATAGTCAACCTTTGGCCAAGTTCACCCCAAGTGACAGGAAGTAGACTTGTTTGCAGTGTGGGGGAGGGGAATAATCACGGGGCAACCTTAGCGGCTGCTGAGAGCCGCTGAGGTGGTCAGGAGGGTGGCCCACCCCTCTGTTATGGAGATATTGGATCTAGACCCGTGACCCTGAAGAGATGTTAAAAATTAATAACAAGCAGATAAGAGCACCACCAGCTGGTGCTGTGTTGTGTGTGTGGGGGGGGGTGAGGAAGAGGTGGGAGACACATCTGGGTGCAGAGAACGGAGGACATTGTATACTCGGGAAGGTCATGCTGAGGCAACAGATGTTGATCTTATTTCTCAGAAATGTTCAGAAGAGGTTTTGGGACAACAGGGTGTCAACAGGTCCTGACCCCTTAAGGACCCCATTGGGGCCGCCTTCCTTGCGCCCCCTCCATCTCATCTCCGAGAATCCACACTAGTGTGGGACGCTCCTTCTCGTGAGGAGGATGGAAATGCTGGGTTTGAGCTCCAGTGGTGTCAGTGTCCCGGCTTCAGTGGGAGACCCCCTAGCTGGGTCCCTTCTCTCTGGACCTTGGTTATCTCATCCTAGGGTCATCTGGGAGGTGAATGACACAAAGGACATGTCAGCACGCTGTAAGCACAAGCAAGGAGCCATTTCCTTATGGGAGAGCGGCCACAGGGGCAGAAAGGCAAGTGAGCGAGCACCGAGTACCGAGCACTGAGCACCAAGTACTGACCACCAAGTACCGAGCACCAAGTACTGACCACCAAGTACCGAGCACCAAGTACTGAGCACTGAGCACCAAGCACCGAGCACCGAGCACCTCACTGCCTCTGCTGAGGGGTGGGGAAGGAGATCTTCAGGGAATGCCACCGCACTCCCAAACAACTTCCCCCTGCAACCTCAGAGAGAAGGCTCCATTTGTCTTTGGACCCTGTTTCCAGAAGGCCCTGCCGTCCTTCCACCTCCCCCAAGTAGTCCAGCCCCTCTGGCCTGGCCTCGAGCAATCCTGAGAAAATCAGGATAATTTGAGCCCACGAGAAAATGCCCCATGTGAAGCCACCCTGAGCTGGGGGAGTGGGTCACTCACTGTGCGGCCTGATTACAAAAAATCACAAGGGGACGTAGCTACATTGATTGGGCACTGCCCATGGGCCAGGCCCCATGAAGTGCTTTATAGACATTGTTAACGTCATCCTCACCACAACCCCGTGGAGTCGGTCTTATGATCCCCATTTTACAGATGAAGAAACTGAGGTTTTGAGCAGTGATTCATTTGCTTGAAGTCATACAGCTGGTAAGTGGTAAGGTGGAAATTTGAACCCAGATGAGCTGAACCCAAGGCTGTTTTCAAAGTCTTGAAGTGCGTACTCTTTCTTGGGGGCCATGTGCCCCCCCCCCGTTTCCTTACGAATCCTGTTCTCCGGAGAGGGTCTACAGCTTCTGCGGGCTAGGAAGGCCTGTGTGTTCTCCCTCACGGGTAGGCCTGATTTTCCCCTGGGGTAAAGCCTCGGGCAGAGGAGCCAGGTTGAGACAGTGTGGATTTTCAACAGCGGCTTGGTGGGGACTGAGCCCCAGGCTGCACCCCTCCCTGGAGTCTTGCCATCGTGCTATCATGGGCCAAGTTCTGGTTTGG